CATTCTTTCCATTAGGGTCCTTAAAAAAGAGCGTACGAATTCTAATAGGCCGGCAACGCACTTGCGAGCCTTCTGGCAAAGTGAGTGTCCATGGGCGGCGGTATCACTTAACATCTGGAGAGTTTCCTACCCGTTTGCGTTACATAAAAAAAATAAAACGTCCAAGGTGATTAGACCTTTTTCGTACCACGACGAGTGGTTTCTTGCCAGTTCTTCTTGCCCGCTCTACACCCTTGACTTGCGAACTGGTAATAAATGTACATTTGGAATTAATTTAACTTCTTTTCTGACGTTAATCCAACTTAACTTTAAGATAAATTTTTTTTTTGAATGAATTGTCCAACTCTATGTTTGTTGTCTATGAGTAACGAGTGTATTTTATATTTTCACCTAAAGTATCAATCTAACTCAAGAATAAAGATCAGGTCTAATTGTAACAGTGGGGTTACAATAATTGGTCTTAAACGGTTTTATGTACATATGTGTATCGCACTCTTTTTTTTCTTAATAAGCAAGTCAGCCTTCTGCCTGACACACCGTCGATTTTACGTCAAGTCTAAGGCATGCTGGTTTCTTCACGGGGCACACGTCATTTGATGCAAAGTCATGATTCGAACTCAATACCTCTGAGACGCATGCAAGCCACTAGATTAACATTACTGATACATATTATACTGTACTTCTAATGACTTAAAACCTTATAACCAAGTATATTAAACAAATAATAAACTACAAACGATTCTATGAATAGAGGCAAAAATGGATCTTTTTATAATAAATTGAATATCTAGGTAAGTAGGTATTTGAACGGACAAAGTCAATAATTATTATCATGATTCACGATATAATTTCGACGCACGATTTCACGGTCAAACGTGCTCATAGGCAGAAACTGAATGTGTGCCATGGCCTATTGGCACAATTCCTGTTCAAGTCAAGAACTAGATATCTAGACAGACATTACAAGGAAATCTATGTCAGTGAAGAGTTATTAAAGCTCTCCGATTTGAATCCGATTAGGGAATTATCATTTTCTTAGGTTGTTTATTATATATTTATTATTTTAAGGTGTGTTTTGCAAATCTTATGTAATATTTTACTATGTAAACTTATAACAATGAAATATAAATACAGTAATTAACGGCTTAAATAAAAGCCTCTTTTCTCCAATTTCGATTTTGTTTTCTTTGGCGTAGAGACTCTTGGGGTTCAAGTGCACAGGCGCTATTTATAGATGTATAATTATTATCATATTTATAGATAGAAGTATCGGTGACCCCAGAGCTGGTGCTTTCCTCGCTCAACGAATAAGTATCGCAATACAGCGAGGAAATGCTGCCAGCTTCAGCGTTAAAGGTACACAGCCACAGGGACCAAACTTCTTAAATTTGTTTTAATTTTCCTTTTAATTATAGGTTAAGAAAATTTTAACTTATTAATTTTAAGCATTATTATATTATAAGTATTACGTTTGTGCACCTATTATTATTATTTATTATTAAGTCTATATTTATTTATAAGCTTATAAAAATAAAATATTTACAAAACAACTAAAAAAACTATATAAAATTGAATTTCGACTGTTTTACATTAAATAAAGTTTAGTGTTTGGTTGGGTCTTAAGTGTAAGGTTGGAACCCCGTCCTGAGTATAGGCCTCCTCCAGGCCTCATTCATCTTTATTTGTCGCCTCTTCCACCGAAGCGTGGTCGCTACAGCTACGATATTTTCTGTCCGCACCTATTAGTATAGTACAATAAAGCTCATAAGCTTTCAGAGGGCGCATTATGGGGCTAAAGGCCTAAGTCTTCAAAAAGAGACAGATATTTAAGTTGTTCAAGACGATTTTTTTTGCTAACAGTTCTATTTTTCTGCTACTTATGTGCTCGAAGCTTGTATAGAGAGTATGTCTGGAGTGCAGAGGTTAGCTAAACACATAACAAATATATATTTCTTTCAGGAGAAAATTTAGAAGAAAAATTAATATTAATAATGAATTTATAATGTATGTTTTTAGCCTTAGACATATAATTTTTTACAAACAAAAACACACACACACAAAATAACAATAATCAAAGAAAAAAAATTTAATAAAAGATTTAACGAGAGATATATAAAAATATTTTTTTTTCCTTTTCCCATTCGGTTCGTTTCAAGTGTGTACTGCGTGTGTGCTGTGATAATAATATGTATATACTAATATAATATGAAATATAGACCGGAAGAGGGAAGAGTAATTGTGTATAGTTACGAGTATGTGCGTTGAATCGTAAAGCCCTCGAAGAAAGTGGCCGTGTCATATTTCTAGGCCAGATTTATAACATGTCATTGAACCTATAAAGAAAATTCAACATGACAAGTGCACAGACTTCCACTTCGATTAAAAGCCACAGAACATAAACCACTTTTTAAAGTTTGTGGTTGACAGATCTCTTACGGGTTCCAAATTCCAATTTATTAAAACAAATCAAAGTTCTATATTTGAATTTATAAAAGGACTGCTATATGCAGAATACAAACATTAGATTTGAAAGCTTCAAATGTACATATTATACATTAGTATGCAAGAAATCAATTATTATAAAATAATGTAATTATTTAAGGCCTTCACAGATAATAATTTATGAGTGTCACATTTCGTTATAAGCAATTTCAAAGGTAAAAGCAATTGAGGTAAAGTAGATAAAAAAGTGAAAATTGTTGAAAAACCCAGAGAAAGTAAATATTTTAGAGCACTGAGGACAGCACGACGCTCTTTGAATAATCATTGTTGACCAGTGGTCAGTATATTTCTAGTTAAAACTTACTTCTAAAAACCCGAACGATGAGGTTCAGAATTCTATGTGTAATTTTTTTGTAGCCAAAAATTGCTTATGTTCACTTAAGTATTTCCGAACCAATTTGACTTTGGGTCCTTCAAGAAAAGAGCGTTCCAATTCTTAAAAGGACGGCAACGCACTCGCGAGCCTTCTGGCATTGAGAGTGTCCATGGGCGGCGGTATCACTTAACATCAGATGAGCCTCCTGCCAGTTTGCCCCCTGTTCTATAAAAAAAGACAAAGCTGATACAAAGAAATATTGTTAACACTTATTTTGGAGTCAATTAAGTTTAAAAAAGGAATGCATGTGGTTTTAGAAATATAACTTTTTTCTTGCCATAAGTAATACGACTCTTGTTAATTATTATATTATAACTAGTGGACCCCACAGACGTTGTCCTGCATGATATTTAAAGCGATTAGGATATTAAGCAAAGTATGAAAGTACCGACTGCAGTGCCATCTGCCGGGCTGATTTGTGAATCTAAACCATTCCCAGATCCCCTTGAACACACACAAAAAATTTCATCAAAATTGGTCCAGTCGTTTAGGAGGAGTTCAGTCACATACACACGCACACAAGAAATATATATATTAAGATATGCAAAATACGTTAGGGTAAATTTGGAAGTTATATTATATTCGTATGAGCTCTTTGTCTAACTATTGATACAATTTGCTGACTCATACAACTTTGAACTTTTGTCGAATCGGGTCACAGCCCACATGCCATGTTACCATCATTGGGCACCTGTTAAGAAAATTCAGTTTTAAAATATTTAAATAAACATTCATAAAATAAAACAATAGCCAAATAGTGTTTCATTAATTCGAGTTTATTAATTGGTCATTTTAAATACTTACACAGAAAGCATAGGCAATTCAATTTGATAATAAATTTGTCTATAATAAAAAGTATTGTAATCGAATTTTAAGTTGAAGATCTATCGGAGATCTTAAGCAAATTAGTTTTTTACCTATTACTATTTTAAAGCGACTTCAAAAAACCTCAAAGGAAATGATCAATTTTAGTGTCTTTTTGTGTGTATGCAATCCGTGGAACAATATGAATTAAAATGACAAATGATTCGGATTTAATTTTATCAATTTAATTTCTTTTATAATCAATCCAAGATGAACTCACAACAAAAACTTCGTATTCAAATTGAAATTACTAACACAAACAATATAGACAAACAAAACTAGCGTCTTTTCCACAGACTACCAAACCAAATTAAATGAACATCTGTAAAAACAAAATAGAGAATTAATAATCTGATTAAAGAAATATAATTATTTCTGACAAGACCGATCAATACAAATCAGAAATTTTGTTAATATATATAGCGAATTTTGGCGTCCGTTTTTTAAGAATCATTTAAAGTTCTTGAGACGAATAAATACGTTATTTTATTTGATACCAAAGAGTCATAAAAGCACGTAATTTAAATATACTTTCTCCTGACTCTCATGCTGATAAGCCATCACTCGCTTTGTCAGGTATGTGGTTAGAATAATCATGCGTTTACGTTAATGATGGCATTTTAAACGTTCACGTGTCTTTTAACCTCATATATTGTTCTGCGCCATGTTACCCTCAAATTAACACAATTCGACTTAGGGTCCGTCAAGAATAGCGCGTACCAACTCTTGAAAGGCCGGAAACACACTTGCGAACCTTCTGGCAATGTGAGTTTCCATGGGCGGCGGTATAAATTAACGTCAGATGAGCTTCCAGCCCGTTTGTTATATTAATTTTTTGGCCAGCCTTGGATGTTATTGCTTGGCTCCAAAATTTAAGATAGATGTATGTTTAAGGTATAAAATACTTTCTATTTCTCTCTCTTTGTTGTAATGTTTTCGTTTTGCATTGATTGTATTTTTTGAAACTATATAATATGAATTAAACTTATTGGCCAATTTGAATTAACTTGTCCATTTACAAACCTATGGGAAAAATAAATTGAATTTAAATGTAATTTAAGTTAAAAGTAATATTATTCAACAGGATTAACGCTAAGAAGCTTAATTGAAATCATTCTGCGCTTAACGCTGGCTTAACTCAGGTTCAATTACCGGTGAAAAACATTTTTGCCGTTTACTATTTCAAACAAGCTCCTAACATCCAAGAACGCTGTAACTGTCTTCACAGTGTTATTACTGCTAAATTATACCCTTCACAATGCGTCATAAGTTGTTAAGCGGGTTTGTAACATCGCCAGCTTTGAGGTCGGACGCACTGCGAGATTTATCCGCTTCAAAATAGTAGAATAAAATTTCCCCAATAATTTACTAAGTCTGAACTAGTAGACCATTGTTAGGAATATATCTATTCACATTTTTTGAACACGCTTTAGCGGAATTTATCATATGACAGGACTGTAGTTTAAGTTATGATTGCTAATGCTACTTTTCCTTCGTTTGTTTGAATTTATCACCGAGAAAATTGGCTGATGTTTACATATAAAATAATATATATAATAATACGTAGATGTCCTTACTTTTACTTTGTTGGTAACATTTTTTGAAAAACTAAAATGTTGACTATAGCTAACTTCAGGATGTCGGCTTTCTGTGAGGGCGTGCGCGGGCATCGTAAAAATTTACTTTCATCAATTTCCCTAACGCGCTAAAAGAAGTAGCTTCAAAAATTAATAATGAATTCCCTTGGCCGCGTCTGTCTATGAACGCGATAAACAAAAAACTTCTTACTATACAGTATATCTGAGTGTATTCAGTAATAATGTAAATTAAATGAAACATAACAATTACTTATGACGTAAAAAATGTTGCCAAAATGTTCTATAAAACGTCAGTTTAATCTCAGTGCGGTCCCAACTTAAATTATAGGAAACAGCATCGGTCAGCAACCTTCGACTAATGACACGGTAATGCGCTTACGGGCTTGCGGATAACAGTAAATGAATGATATCTTCACCCACAGCACACCTTTTTTACCTATCTTCCTGAACGGTTCGCTCTAAATGCATAACTTATGAGTCAGTCAACAGTAAGCTAATTTAATAATTACTAAATATATTCATTAAAAAAAACAATCCAAGGTAAGTTTTTTACAATTTCTCATTGACATGAAGGTTTATTCAAAAAATTGAAGGTTATATAAGTGATTTAAATCAGGAATAAAACATAGAGAAATTAATATATAAGAGGATAGTTATATAAAATACTACATCATTTTTATAACTTTATTATTAAATTATCTTGTAATAATATAATTATCTTAAATCATATTAAGAATAAAAATAATAATAATGACGTCCCTGTTAATATCGAATTCATTTTTTAAAAAATAGTGTACTACCAAATAATTATTATCTTGTACTCTATTAAAAGTAATTCATAAATACATTTATCAATTAAACTTACCACATAAAAACACACTAACGAACTTTTTAAGCACATTTTTAAAAATTAACGTTCATTTACACTATTTGAAATTTAAATTAAATATTGTCGCGGCACACTTTCAGTACATTTGCGAATTTTGACCCGAATGTAGAGATTACACATTCGCGGTTGTAGAAGGGCGTGCGGTCGGCGCACTGCCCGTGTAGACAACAAGTGGTTTTCATTATAACGGGAACCTGGTTTAAAGTGTATACTGCTGCCGCAAATACCAATTCTAGTACAAATTGACTCTCTCTTTTCATCAATTATTAATTACTTCAACGCCATCTATTGGATTTTTTTATAAAAGTCTTTCATTATTTTTAGTTTCAGTACTGTCTACTAAATACAATAAGGATTCTTTCTTAAATTAATCAAATTAAAGGTATTAACTAACTGTATGTTTGAAACCTTAGTAAATGACACTCAGAAAGGGACAATAAACTTAAATTTCCTTATTATAATTTAAGTAAAGTACGAACAGTTGTGAAAAGTCACTGCGCCCTCTGTCAATAACTTGGTTGGTTTATACCGGACAATTCATTGGCATTCATACCTTAACGAATATTTTATCTAATAATAAGGTTATATTGCAAAAGCATAATTTAGTGTATAAAGCCGCAAATAAAAATGAAAATAATATATTTTACAATATGTTTCTGTCCCCAGATGTTAATTGTCAGTATTTAAATGTACTCTATGGTCGCGAGTATCAGCAAATTCACAATGCTAAGTGTCAAATGATACATGACAACTGGGGTCTGGACTTTGCTTATTTTATAATGTCTTTAACCCAAGTATAATTAATATCGAAATCCTGTTAAACACAAACAATTAGGGATGAAGCAGTTGTTAAAGAAGAGTTGGTACAAAGTATTGTTCAATTATTTAAGAAATTTGATCTTCTGTGTTTTTCTGACAACAACAAGAAGAATTTGTCTTCAGAGTTTGACAGCGGTAAACAAAGTTTCAAGGACAGCGATAAACTATTGAAAGCTAACTAAAGTACAACAAACTATATTTAAATTATTTTGTCAATCAAACTAATTTATTGAACTTAAATTATATATAATTAATCATCTTTAAAATAGTTCAATACTGCGGTAAGTTGTTGTATTATTTTGAAAAAATCAGCTGTTTGTCAATAATATCTTCGATCTCTTTCATTCATTGATTAACATGTTAATGCTATCCTTATCCCACAAATACATTTTTGGGCATTCTATTTTGGTACATTACCATCACTATGAGATGTGATTATACTAATTTTGTGTCGTCTTATGGTTTAAGAATAATCTTAGGTTTCATAATTAATGGTTGGAAGGTAACTTACGTTAAATAACACATCGATTTGCGCAACAAAACCATGCTTTGCTTCTTGCTTACTCTAACCAATAAACATAATTCTATGTATGATTACAAAATATCTGCCTAAATATTTCATATTTAAACTGAGAAAACACAATATTTAGCATTACATACATTTAAGACAACTATGTTTTATCTATGACAAAGCATAATGCACTAATGCAGTTTGACTATACTTTTAAGATGAACATTTATTAAATATCAATTTATATACCAATTCAGTCAATCAAAGCAATCTGGTAGAAACGGGTGCTGTCTAAAGGGTTTTTATTAATTAACTTAATAATACTTTCTATATTTTAGAATCTTTTCTTATATATTTTTAGTTAATAGTGTTAAATTTCAAAATAATTTTGAACTTCCAGAAATAATGAACATATACCAATCTTGCCAAAAAGCATGGATACTAAAGCGTGTGTCGATAAATGCAAGGTAAAAGAAGATAATAGTGCAAGATATAAATGTGAATATGATGGGTGTGAGAGAACATATAGTACAGTTGGTAATCTACGAACCCACTTGAAAACACACACAGGTAATGATTAAATTTCTAACACGCCATATTGTAAAACAATATTATATTAATTATATACTATCTATTGTATTTGTATGTCTAGAAATCAATATGTCTACTTAATATAATAAACTCTTAAATATGCAATTTGGACATAATACGTAGAACTAGTCAATTGAAATTTGGTAACAACTTAAGAACATTGTTCATGTTAGTATTTTTAGCTATATATATTGTATTCTTAGTTTTCTAAACTTGGCTATTTTTCTAAATACCTAGAGATTTGAAAATTAATCAAATTGACTGACTCTTAAAAGATATCTATTTGATTTACTAGACCTACTTTTTGCTGCCTATTTTAACTATACACCTTAAAAAAACCTTTTCGTTTTATAAAAGTGTATAAACCTAATAATTATATAATATCAACACTATTTTTACTGTGTGGTACTTATATAACTTAAAAGGTATTTTAAACTTAGGGAGTAATCATTTGTTTTTACCACCCATTGCTAACAAGACTCTTTTTTTTAGTTTAGTTTTTCGGGCTTTGTTAATTAAGCTATGTCCTATTGATCATTTCAGGCGAGTACAGGTTCACATGTCCGATGCCATCATGTAATAAGGCGTTTCTCACATCCTATAGTCTCAAGATTCATGTGCGAGCCCATACAAAGGCAAAACCATTTGCATGTAATATGGGAAATTGTAATAAGGCATTCAACACTCTATACAGGTACATTGATATTTATACATTCTAAATTTGAATTAATTTATGTATTGCTATTAATTTCTCCTCATATACAGTTACAGAATCATTTTGCTATTGTCCTTACTAATATACTGTCTAGTATGGTGTCTTTGTTGTATTTGGTTAGCTACCAAGTTTATCCTGCTTCTGCTTATATGGTACAGGTATAAGGAAATGAGGCAATGTTAAATAGCACTTCATTGTTACTAACCATTTTTTGTTGAATCTTTGGTTTGTATGTATAAACTCATACATACTACTACAGAGGATACGTAAGACTTTTTATGCTTTATTAATGCATGTTTACTATAACAGGAGGAGAAGTGGAAATTTCATTATTATACCCCATACAAAAATTTTAATGAATAGTTTAGTTTTAGTTAGCTAGTTTTATGAAACTGTTTGTTAAGCAATTTACCCGAATTATTATATACAAAATGAACATACAAGGTTTGATCTTCGTTAAAATGTATTCAAAGTCATTTCTGTCTAAGCAATGGAAAATGATTATAATTATTTCCCTTGGAATTTAATAAGACACATTTTATATCAAAATAAACTGAAGAAAAATGTATTTATTTTAATTTATTTGTCATAAAAAGTATTAAATTATAATATATCTAAAGTAAACGTAAATTGTTCTACCTATATTTATTTCAGCTTCAATTTCAATTTATTTTATAAATACACATTAAAAATAAATTATAACATTGCTTCTGTGCAATAGAGAAGGTTATCAGCCCCAAGCCCCATTAATGATGACGTCACAAGTACCTTGGACTTGGACGATTATGCAATCCGACAAAAGGGTTATTGTTTTCGAAACATGAGTTTCTAAACAGAACAACTCTTAAGATTTATGATCACTTGGGAAATTGCCAATTCGTATCAACGCGCGATTTTAATGCAAATTAGTGAATCAACTTTATGTCGTTGGATTAAGAGTCAATTTTGAATGTATTAGCTTAACTATTTCTATACCGCATATCTGCCACGAAATTTTGTGGTTGCCCTATAATTTTTTAGTTTATTCTTATCATGTTTGGTGTTTCCTTTCGTGGTCTTCTATTACGAAATTCGGTCATTTTGTTTATCCAATTGTTAGTGAGGTATTCTAAAGATTTCAGTTCTTATATATTAGAATTATACTAACAACCAGTGGCGCTACAACCTCGGTCTAGCCCACAGATGACCCGGCAAACGTTGTTTTGCCATGTATATTATTTCTAGGAAACATTTTTTTAGTTCAATAAAAATAACTATCTACTATAATTAAAAATAGGGGTTGATCGTAAAAGGGTGAAAATAAAGGGTTGTATGTATTTTTGTATGCTGTATCATAAAAAAATAAAACCAAAAAAAATTTAGGAGTGGCCCACCCTTTACATTTAGGGGTTCGAAAGATAGATAGTAGCCGATTCTCAGACTTACTAAATATGCATAAAATTCATAAGAATCGGTCGAGCCGTTTCGGAGGTGTTTGGGAACGAACATTGTGACACGAGAATTTTATATATATATTGAACAAAAATATAACACAAATGAGTGACCAACATCTTAAGAGACACTGTTTTATAAAACAGAGGTGAAACCTATCTGGTATTAAGTAATATCCATAAATACTGACAGTAGTCTCGCTAGTGCGTTGCCGGAATCTAGAAGTAACCTGAGGAGTCCAGAAATACTTTGAAAAACTAGCTAGGTGCTCTTAGACTTTTTTAAAAAAAATGTCAAAAACATTTTTTTAGATTAGTATTAATTCTAGTGAATACATGTCATTTAATGTTTTGTTAATTTTTAATTGCATTTGTACTGTACCCTCAGTAGGTACTTTTATATTTTTTTTCTCCATACCTGGGTTGCCTGGAAGAACAATAATTTATGTAATCTGTTTTTTATTATGTATGTGTTAACGCCTTTAGTACACCTACGCGTTCGTATGCGGCTGCGAATCTTTGCGAAATAATTGCGGTAGCGAAATATCTGCGGAACGTTAGTACACTGCAGGTTTTTCGCAAGGATATGTCATTGTAGCTTTCGTGGGCTGTAGGTGCAGACGTCGTTTCAGAATGTCATCTGAGTCGTCCCAGTCGTCGCTTTTCGATTCTGAAGAGGATTTTGTAATTAACATGCCCAACTAAATATAATTCGGGATAATTTCGATTAAAATTCATTAATGATTCAATATTTTCGGCTTCCATTGTGCGAAATTCTGTCCTCACTGACAGAACGCGTGGTGACGCCTTGCGATGCGAAACTTCATTAGCGAAACGTCTGCGTCTGTGTAACAGCCATTTCGCAGTTAGTTGCGAAACAATACCGACAAGGACGCAACTATTTCATCTAGCTATATATTAGAGCGAGACAAAACACATGCGAAACGTTGCCATACAACTTACAGTTTTTTCGTCGTTTCGCTGCCGCATGCGATTGCGTAGGTGTACTAAAGGCGTAAAGGTAACGAAATAAATAAAACATTGCAATTATCACATCACATGTCGAACATGTTACAGGATTGATAGGTGACAAATTGCTGATAGGAAGATATTCGCACGTTAAATGTATTGTGCCAGAGATCAGAATTGCTAGATATTTGGCACGCTTCCTATATTGTTGTTTATTGAGCTAATTTGGAACATAATACTTTTTAATTGAAAATTCGTTTTTCTTAACCCTTTGATATATAAATGGTTCAGTAATTGTAATTTAAGAAACGTTCTAGTTTATTTATTTATTTATTTGCTCAACGGTATTCCTACAGCTACTTATTAAAAAATATTCAAACAATTACACTGTACACAAAAGCCAAAAACGGAATACACATTTAAACATACACAATGCACAGATTCACCTATACAAATACAAAAAAATATACAAAGAATATATGTATTTATAATAAATTCTAAGTTCTAAGATTCTTTGTTCATTATAATATATATATTTAATACAGTAGTTTATCAGTAGTACTCTACTTTTGCACCGTCTATGGGAGTGTTCAAGTATTACGTAACGAATTTTGGGATGGGGGGTTTGGCTTCCTCTTGAAAAACGTTACGATGCGGGGCGGGGATTAAATTACGCGTTATTGTTAATATTATTTTCGACTACTTTACACCACATAATGGTACTATTACTATTGGGTACAGAAAAACGTTACATGGGGGGAGGGTCAATAATCTCCAAAAATTGCGTGACGTAATACTTGAACGCTCCCTTTGTCATTTGTCAATTGTTTTTTTATGCACTTATCTGTGTTACTCTATGGCACTAGTTGCCGAACTTATATAAGGTTGACTCGGACTTGATTGTTGACATTACGTGATGAATTTTATTGTTTATGCTTTTTAAGTAAACTTAAAATATATTATATATTAAATATAGTATAAATTCTATATACTATATAATATATTCTAATATTTGATTGAATGAAACTTTAAAAAACGAACGAACTTTTTTTATCTGTTTCGTCTCATTTGCAATACAGATTGAGAGCTCATCAAAGATTACACAGCGGTGATACATTTAATTGCAAGGCTGAGGGTTGTACAAAGTTCTTTACGACGTTAAGCGATTTGAAGAAACACATACGAACACACACACAGGAGCGGCCGTACAAGTGAGATCTATTTACATTATTTTAGCATAATGTCTTACGATTGACAAAATTTTAAAAGCCATTTCAGATTATTTTTACAGGCCGGCTACGCACTTGCGATGACTCAAAAAGTCAACGGCGTGTGTCAGGCACAGTACCCCTAAACAGATACAGAAACATTAGGTCAGACCTTAAAAGGTTGCAACACCATCGGCTTTTATAGTCACTTTTTTAAATATAACACCAAATGTAAAGTGATACCGCCGCCAGTGGACACTCAATGCTAGATATCTCGCGAGTGCGTTTAATAGTGCACTCTTGTATTGAAGGACCCTAAGTCAAATTGGTTCGGAAATACATCAGTGAGAAAGAAGCTGCTTCCACATAGCACTGGTGCGCGGCAAAGCCTGCCTTAAATACCTAGATCAGAGCAACCCGTCCAATTATCGCTGACACTGATACTGTTCATTATTTGATTCCAACTTTATTTTTACTTTTTTCAGATGTGGAACAGACGGTTGCGGTAAATCATTCACCGCGTCTCACCATTTGAAGGCACATGCGCGTACGCACACGGGCTCGAGGCCGCACGCGTGCGCCGCGCCATCTTGCGGAAAACACTTCGCCACGCCCACAAGTCTAAGAGCCCATGCTGCTAAACATCAGGTACCAACATTTATGCCTTTCGGCTTCACCATTAGTTGTATGATTTTTTAATGACGTGTTATACACTTGCGGTATGATTTCGGTGCCTAATTATCACTTTAATTCTTATTTATCTATTTCATGGACCTAACACACAACTAAGCCTTGAGAAATAATTGTTGATTATTGTACGAATGAAACTCAAATGTGTTGCTGAAATATGTATTTTAAAAGAATCACTTTTATTATATTTCTTTTATAATCCAAAATGTTCTAACAAACACATCATCGAATTAATTTAAATGACAAGCCAAGCGTTTGACGTTCATAAGTGTATATTGTGTTACCAACATGAAATGATTTTTGACTATTAGCGTGTTTTCAACAGACTAACAAACGAACTTAATGTAAAATCGGTTAACACATAATAGATAATCAATAATCTAAAGAATCTAATCTAATATTTCTTTACATGTATTTAAATAATATTCGTAGTAACCTCTAATTCTCTTTCGAATTCTTCGCGATTATGACGGATTATCCGGAGCTGGATATATTCGGTAGTGGGCTGATCAATTTTAAATAAAGCATTGTTAAATGCCTAATCCGATGTTATATACTATTATATATTTTTTTTGTTCAACGATACAACATCCAGGATCATCTACTTGAAGTTAAGTAAGCTATTATGTAATTGTAAAAATAAGATGGTGCTAATATTTTACCCTGCTTGAGCCTATTTCATTTGTTCGCGTTAAAATAATTTTGAGGCGCAACAACTTGAAATTGCTGCCGCTTCACAAAAACAAATAATTTATTGAAGTGAAACTTCTTTAGGCGCATGACGGTAAATTTTTTACGGAACGTCACGAAGATTTGCAGCGTATTTGTCGAAGAAAAGGGAGAAAGCGATTGAGAGAGAGTGGGAAGGGTGAATTACTTTGAAATTCTATTTTTTAAATTTTATGCAAAATAATTTATTGAAATTTTAAATGACGAATTGTACATTAAAATTCCACGTGTTTTTATTATCGAAAAAATAAATATATTATTTGTATTAATTTCGACACTTTTAATATTTTAATGACAATTAAATTCATTAAATTCCTATCATATCTTCCTTTTTCCCTCCCTCTAAGTCTCGGAAATCTAAAGTTTTAGATTTGTATAAATATGAACAAGAGTTAAAAATTAGTTTGCCAAAGAAGTTTCACTTTCACGACATGTCTCATGTTCGATGACATGTGTCAGTCACAGCAGACTGATCCTACTTGTCTATTTGAAAAAAAAACAAATGATCTCGAAGCAGATACAAAATGCAAGACCCAGACCTTTTTTTTTATGGCTCTGGCACGATTTGTGCATTAGCCAGCGTCAAGTATAGGATTTTTTATAATTCGTGCTTGTCTTTTAGAAATTCGACAGTGTCCTCTATCTACGGTTTAAGCACTCGCCCGGTACCGCACAACCCTTCCAAAGGCCGAGAACAAATTTAAATTAAATTAAAACTTGCCCTCGAACCGGGAATCGAACCAGGTACCCCTCACCTAGCTGCCACTTAATAAGACCGCTAGGCTATGAGGCCCCCAGATCCAGACCTTAAAAGGTTGTAGTGACATGTTGTTTTTTTTTAATTCAGTGGCCAAACGACTTAGCTCGCTTATTTTTATTTTCAATGAATTTGACAATTAAAAAGAAGTTCTCATTAGCAGTAGTTGGCAAGTTCTAAAAACTATCAGTAACGTATCGGCATTACAATTATTTGAAATTGTGCTACAAGACACTAAACCAGTAGGATATATTACTCTCTTGTGTATTCAAATTACATTGAACAAAATACCGTTGAAGTTGTTTATTTTTCTAAAGAAAAAACAATTGCAATCTGAGTCATTACAGCCGCACGTTCACGTTCAGCCAAGAACAATATATTTCACAAATACCTGCGCAGTGATGCGCCTCCCGGTCAGATTGGATTAAAATTTTTTGCAATTACCTACTATAGTACCCATTTGACTTTTCAGACAGAAAGTGAGCCGCACCCAGTTAAAGTACCAGAACCCCTTCCCAGTAAACCGCCAGATGGGATGAATTGGGATAGCCTCCTCGAATCCTTCGGAAAAATCACCACAGAGTCCAACTCTACTGACGGCAGCCTAGACGATATTAACCCTCTCTCTAACAACGTCGACATAACCGAACTACTTTTTGACAACACTAACGATAACGCTAACTACGACATCACTAATCTTGACCTAATCCCCTTCGATGATAAGACCAAGAAAATCGACTGGAATAAAAATATGGACATCAAACCCAAAGCGATGCAATTAGCCCTAGCCAACGAAGTGGAACTGCAGGCGCCGTGGATTGACGTCACAGCTTTAGCGGCTTCCATACAAGAAACCCCAGTCAGCATCAAAGAGAAAACACCAGAAAATATATTCACCCTTGCCACTTTTGTCCCCACACACATGCAAAGTTACATAGACCTTAATTCAGAAGTACCTACAGCGAATGTCGAAACTTTCGACCTAGATACGCCTAACATACTAGATGTCAGCGATAAAGTGTTTAATGACAGTGAATTGGTAACGAATTTCGATCGTCCAACCGAAATAGATTTTCTTAAACCCGGTCCTTCGATTGACAGATCTCTAAATACGCCACCCCCAAAAGTTCAGCACAATATTGAAATTAATCCTTCCAACTCCGTACTGTTTAATACGGATCTCGCTTTAGAGGACACACTTCTATTTGACAATGAACCCCCATCCGATATGTATGTGGTTAGGACAGAGAACATATTCGGCAAACAGAAGAGGAATGCTCTAGAACAATTAGCGGCCGATGCAGGCATTTGTTCCTGCGTTGATTGTAAGTGCGATCCCAATGGTAATTGCTCTAACGACGTAAAATCAATTATCAAAGATTGTTGTGAAGATAAATGCTCATGCGTGAACTGCAAATGCAATCACGCCGAAATGAAATGCGCAGTTGGATGCGGTAAAGCCACAGATACAAACCACAACACGTTCTTAGATTATCATAAACGACATAATAATTCAAATTTAGAAGAGTATGGAGTATATACGCACGAGTGCTACGATGACACACCGGCCAGTGTCGCCGAGAGCTTAAAGAAGTTGACATGTTCTTGTGATACAGATAATAACACCTGCTGTCAAACCAATGACAAAAGAGATAAAAAATCTTGTTGCGTTACTATTTGTATTAAAAATGTGGAGACCTTTAAACGTTTTCTTAATAATGATTTGTTAACGGCTTTGAAGACACCAAGTTTTAATATGACAACAAGTTAGCTTTTCGTAGTAATGATTATGCATTTATTTGTGTACTAATATGTATTTGTGTGCATACAGAAATTGCACTGTCTGGTGCTGTACATTAGAAACTAGGAACTAAATGTTTTTAATGAATTTAAAGTTATTAATAATTTATTTATTGTTAAAAAATTATAATTATACTCTATTTTATTGATCAAAAGTGATATTAAACCACATTTTATTGAATAAATATATTTAATATGTAATATTTTTAAAAGGTGCAATTAATATTTATAAAAAGAACTACAACCAAAGATGGTATAGTATTAAATAATAATGTACAAAAATATGGTATTTAAAGTATGTTAGGGCATAAAAGAAATTTTATTCATGTTATAAAATTAGGTAAGATATTTTTGTAGTATTCTTGATATAGAGATATAATATATTTTAATATATGTATAATATAAAACTAATGTGCCATCACAATTTTTTTAATGTGTATAATATGTAATTTAATATATGGTGCCAAAATGTGCCTTAAACATTGTTATAGTACTTACCTAAGTGCCTTGCACAAATCAAATGAGATTTTATTAGATATTAAAAGCAATAATCACAAGCTGTAAACTTTCTAGTCTCAATAATAAACGCTTTTCATAATAATAGTCTTTTATTTCTCAATTCACATTAAAAGTAAATAATACATAAAAACTTAAAAGATATTTGAATTTTATATTTGAGTATTCCCTTTACTTAAATCTACCAAAAAATTATAAAAAAAAAATATAAAACTCTTTACAAAACGGTTTTAATTAACAGCCATGTTTAAATGCATTTTAGAGATCTATTTCTATTAAATACTAAATGAATACATCTATGACAAATTAAGCCAATTGCTTTACTTAGTTAAACATTTCCACAATTTAAAAGTATTATTAAAACTGACCCATCAAAGCTAAACAGAACTAAGTTTACTCAACTTCAATTATACTGATTCTGAACTAAACAATAATTGATAAAAGTAGCACTCATAGCTTAACGCCGTTTTTTCTTGTCATGCCTTCGTGCTCTAGAGATTGTTGCTCGATGTCCGGGAGATGATTGTTCTGAACTACATTCATCGCTGTCAGTGTAGGACTAAACATTTAGAAAATATTATGATTATTTTAGGTGCAATAATCTTTCACTATGATTTGTATCAAAATACAAATTGCTCTCATGTAACTTACTAATGCAAGTAGGTGGTTTTGGCTTTTGTGTTTTTGTAAGTAGATGCCTAAAACTTGCATCATAAATTTTAATAGTATTGTTCTTTTAATATTATACATACTATTTTTATTTAAAAAACAATTGAACTTAGCAATATTATTAGTTCATGAATTAAAGTTACAAAGCAATAAGGTATGTCAATGTAAGTATTAAATTTTAGGAGCGTAGATGATAGGTTTCTCAATAAATAGACAACAGCACACAATTTATAACATTATAATTGTTTAGTATATATTACAAATTACAATACCTTTTCATATGGGTAAGGTTCACTTTGGTCGTCCGTAAGGGTAACACTTGCCAGTAAGCAAACTAGTTGAAATGCTGCCCCAATGTAGAGTCCGTACCGAATGATGGTACTCATCATATCTTCAGCAAAGATCTCACTCGGAATCATTTTTTGAGTTACGAAATAGGTTTATACAATAAAGTGATAAATGTATTTATTACTACTTAAGTCTTTTTGACATTGGCAATAATCAATACCACTAAGGAATCCTAGAGACAGCCGAAAAACATAAACACTTGAGTCTTGAACAATGCCGAAACCGAATAAAACAATTGTCAGTTGTCACATTCATAGACATAATGTAGATATGTCATATTGTAGCCACAGACTATTAAATATTATGCTAAATTCTGATAGTTTAAAGCTTAAAAATGTTTTAGCATTACAAGCCGTCGGAAATATCTGCGATTTGCGAACCTCGCTGGAATGCGCTTCCCCTGGCGCTTCCCCGCACCCCGCCCCGTTTTCGCCTATCCAGTACCGTTGCCAACGCAATCGCCGACGCACGTGTATTATTCTTGCTTTCGTAATCGCATTTTAGTGTTTATTGTTTCTCTGTTTGGTGAAATATTACATAAACTACCTATTTAGTGCTGTATGTAAGATGGGTAGGACTATACATAGTGCAGAGCGGAATTTAGTGCTCAAAGTAATCCAATTCTTTGAAAATGAAAAAAACACGGCTCTTTCACTGTGCCGGTTGAACAAGCAACAAAAAGGGCTTGTGCTGCAACTGGTTTATCTAAAACGACAATAATGACAATAAAACGTGAAGCATAAAAAATACAAACAGAAACAGCGCGAGCAGCGAATGTTCAGGAAGACATGACGTCCTTCGAAGATGGTGAGCATCCACAACCTAGTACTTCAGCTTCAGTTGCCACGGACACTATCAAGCTCTCGACACCAGGGAAAAAGCGTAAAAAATACAAAAAGAAAATAGATCTAGATAATTTTGATTTATGCGCGATACGCTCTTTGGTTGAAAGTTTTTATACCACAAGAAAAGAAATACCTACTTTAAAAAAGATTCTTACAATAGCAAAACGGGAGCTCAACTTTCCCGGCCAAAAAGACGCCCTAAGAAACATACTAATAAATGATTTGGGGTACAGCTTTAAAAAATGTAAACGAAAACGCGATTTTTTGGTGCAAAGACCTGAAATAGCAGCCTGGAGAGCAAAATATTTAAGGCGACTGAAAGAAAATGACGAACGTGGTGCCGAAAAAAACCAGTTACATTTATCGACGAAACCTGGATACATTCACACTATACTGTCTCAAAATGTTGGCAAAATAGTAGTGATTCCAGTGTCCGAATAAATCACTCTCCTAGTCAGCGCTGGATTGTGGTACACGCAGGTAATGAGAACGGTTTCATACAAGGAGCCGAGCTCCTATATAAGTGTAAATCAACAACCGGTGATTACCATGACGAAATGGATGCGTCCAATTTTACCAAATGGATTAAAGAGAAATTGATACCGAACCTTCCACCCAACGGAATAATTGTCATGGACAACGCGCCCTATCACAGTAAGCAGGCAAATAAGCCGCCAAATTTCAGTGCACGTAAAAACGAAATGCAAACATGGCTGCAAGAACACAACATCGAATTTGATGACAAAATGACTAAAAGAGAACTGTATATGTTGATTCAAAGAAATAAACCTGAGAAGGTATATTTCATCGATAAAATATTTAGAGCTCATGGACATGAGGTATTACGTCTGCCACCCTACCACTGTGATCTCAACCCTATTGAGTATGTTTGGAATTTGATGAAACAAAGGGTGGCAGACAAAAATATTGACCAATCAGAAAAAGATATAGAAAGGTTAACAAAGGCAGCGATCCAAAGTATAACCCCGGAAGATTGGAAAAAGAATGCAACCATGTTGATCGCTTAAGAGATAAGTTTTGGCATAATGACAGATTATATGAACATGAAGAACGCGAATTAATAATTTCATTAGGAGGAGAAGACAGTGACAGCGAAACCGAAGACAACATTTTGAGTGATAATATAGAAGATGACGAAAACGACAGCGCTACCATGTCTGGTGTCGAGGCTTTTCTAGAATAGTTTCGCCACTTTCTCTTCCTCTCTACTTTTTCTTTGTATTATTTGTAAATTTGTAAATAATTTGAATTTTAAATAATGTAAATAATAAGTATTTGTAAATTTCAAGTAGGTACGAGTATCAATAAAAATAAGTACACAAATAAAATATTTTTTATTTTTACATCTTCAATTTTTTTGCTATCTCTCCAGTTTGTATGACGTCATTAAGCCAGGTTCGCAGATATTTCCGACGACTTGTATATTATAGATTTATCAGAAAGAGTATTAGTTAATTGAGTTATAAAGTATGATTTCCTTAATTATTGTGGCTATAAATATATATAATGGCTTTTCAGGATAGTAACTGAATAATATGATCTAAAAGATTTTCAGTTTACGATTTTATTAAGACATTGTATTCAGGGGGTTTAATCAAGATGCCTTAACAGTAGGTAGTGAATGTAGAAAGTCGAAAATTAAATTTGTATGAAAATTTGTTGACACGAACTGTCATTTTAACGATAATAATAATTCTTGATTATATTTTTTTTAGTTAGTTCAGTTTGTTGATAATATAGGAGAATAAAACGTATATAATTTCAAGTTCAATCCATGTTTATTAAGAATAATCTAAAAACGTCTAGTTGTAGGTAGGTTAAACAAATAATTTGTATGATTATAAAGATATATGTTGCACAATTATATTACTAAAACTTCGGAGTCTAAAGCAATAATTAAAGCATTTAAATAGAAGGTATTTTTTCTGTCTTATTCCGCTTTACCATCTGCGTTTCCTTGGCATCCAGCGAAAACAGGCCAGTTGCATACCTGTAACAAATTATTTTGTTAATTATTTTTAGGTGGTGCTCTGCTGCAGAGTGTTGGAGGGCTAGATCTATGAATGTAGGACACATTATTAAACACATTTTCCCTACTTCTATAAAATAGCTACAATATAATACACCAATATAATTTTTCGCGTAAAGTAAAGTAATATGAAATAATAATAAATTATACTTATGTGCTACTTATAATTTATAACTGACCTGTTGTTCTTTGTCGAAGTGAAGATTAGGAGGGCATGACATTGCAACTTTGTTGCCCCATACGCAAGAGTAGAAAACGCCGCAGTTTTCTGGTTCAGACACAAGCCAATGAATATAGGGATCTACTGGGCATCCATTTTCCAGAAACTCAATGCCTGGCTTCTCTGTTGGCAGGACTTCTACTTCTGTTCCTTCCCCGTCAACAATTTCCGGTTCGTCTGATAGGTTCTGGATTGATGCATGATTGACTATTGATTGGTATGCTAACTCTGGTTCATCGGTTTCTGTTTCTGGTGGGGTGTTCGGTTGGCAGTTAGCGTTAGCTGGCCAGTCACATATCGATTCGCGCTCATTGAAGTGGAGACTTTCTGGGCAGATTCTTTCAACGGGATAACCGTGTGTGCACTGGTAGAACTTATTGCAATCTTCGTGGGCGAACAATTTCTCGATTGTCCAATCAACGGCTTGCTCTGGTGGACAGGGATTGTCGCGTTGTGCCAGTGTGGCCACAGCCAAAAATAATAAACCTGCAACTGGAAAAGATACAATTATGTTTAATTATCGAATCACGTATTTTGTTCAATTGAATCCTCAAGTTTACCTTTCATGATTGATCAAAGGTGTATGAATGCTTGTCTCGAGTGGGTTTATGTTAGTATTTATAGGAAACTTAAAAATCGTTATCTTTTGAAATCAAAGCAATTGAAATATTATCAAAAGTTCTGATAAAACATGAGCCGTAAAAGATGATAAAGTTTATTGTTTAATTGTCTATCGGAAGAAAGTAAATTGATGTTTTTCATTAAAGGTAAATAAAACTACGAATATGATAATAACATAAAACATATTATCAGGCTTGAGTAATTTATGATTGAGCTCTTTGAAAATCGGCGTCAGTTGATATGTTCAAGGACATTGCCGATTTATCGTACAAACATACCATCGCTTTTCGTTAGTCTGCTCCATAAGTATGAAAATAATTGCCAAATACATATAATTACTTTTGATTTTATATAATCTCGCGTTTTATATAGACAAAGTTTTTTGTATTTCACTAGGCAATATATTATGAGATAAGTTACTATAGAAAAAAACTTATATTTCCCAAGTATGAGGAATGGTGTGGGTAATTCAATCCTAAGGATATGATACTCCATCGAGCGGTCAAACACCGTCTGGAAATTGATTTCTATTAATAATTGATTGTATTGTGAAGGAAAACATTGTGAATCCCTGATTGAAGTTAGAACGATATGTGTTAGGCACGATTGATACTTAGAATTTGGGGTCTCATAAAAGTTTGGATCGTATTATTTTTCTTTTTTTCTATCATTACGGAAACTTAAATGGACGATAAAATAAATATAAAACTAGCCTTAATCATCAACAATCTTAGCAATTATCATCTTTCAAGTATTTCAACAATGAATAAACCTTTCAATTAATATTTTAAAATTAATACTTTAGACTCTCGACGATAACAATACGAAATAATGCTACACGACACCATCTCAAATAAAATTGCAGCTCACTTCTAGGAAAAATGAACTTTCATGTTCCTGCCCAATAGATTCGTAATCGTGTTATGTTTCACGATCCTCACATGGTGCAAATTCCTTAGAAATGTATATAAAAGAAAGTAAAACAACTTTCCTTACCGGTAAGGTAAGGAGCTTCTGAGTTCTTGATGGGGGTTGTAGGGTATGATTCACTAGAACTTCGTAGGGATTTAACTGTGATCAAATTTGGTTTAAGCATTAGATATTAATAACGAAACGGAAAGCGCTTAAGCGTGTAAAGGTGGTGTAATTGTATTGAAGTTTTATTGTGTTCTTTGTTAAGGTTTGGCCATTAATGGGCTGTAAATAAATAAATCACGAGCATAGCCCACATACACAACCTCTTGTACATAACCTTACTTTCACACCATCACACAACACAGCCGAATTAGGTATTACTTAGATATAAATGTATTTAATCATTTTTATAAATTTTTTACTTTCGTAAATATTAAAACCTTTGTGTAAGGTCACCCGGGGCGAAAGCAACTATGGGGCTAAAGTGACTAATTGATTTTATTCACAATTTAATGATTTTTGTAAAACGTGCCATCTGTTGAAGAGTAGAGCAATTATTACTTTTTTTTATAAAGTCTAGATGGAGCTTTTAAGTCGCTAACTGTTGTACTGACAGAGCATTTTTTGACTACCGCCATTTTGGAGCAAAGTTTTGCGGCGCCGTTTGTTTAGTTTTGTGCCATAAAAAATATTTCACGTTATTTCCAGCCAAATTGAAGGTTCATCCTAACATAAAGATAAAACGTAAGTGCTTTTGGTATATTTGGTTAAAGGCTAAGTCTTTTAATTAACATTTTATTGACATAGTTACATTAACCTCAAATTTTTGTGCAGATGGGTAATTGCAACTATTTTTGCAGTTGCAATAGCCCCATCGTATTTGTATGAAAAAATCAAATCACTAGTGAAGTTCCGTGTCGATATTTCAACAAGTGAAGTTCACTATCTATTTGCATAAAATATTTACCTTGGTATCTGTGACGTATTTTTTTAAACTTATATATTGTTTTTGTTAATAATTTAATTGAATTTATTTACATAGAAAACTTAATAATACGTGTTATTGAAAGGCAGATTAGGCGTGCACAAAATACATTCAAACTATAAAACTATGAAAGCCTTTACATAAAGTTACGATTTTGTTAATCTGCAGAGACAGAACGATACTTACGCATCTGCCCAGTGAATCTCTCAATTCAGAAATTGGCAGTAAGAATTACTGGACTGATCAATATTATCCTAGGTTTAATGATTACTCACATAATGTGGCATTATTAAATGCCAATATTATTAAGTCAGCTAGACATTAAGCATTTAAATGTTGATGTTAATTCCCAAAAAATAACTTTAGCAAGACTGCGTTTTTGTACTTACTTTCATGTTATCTATTATACTTACTGTCCTTAGATGTTTATTTGATTATAAGAAATGTTAAAACCTTTTACTATGAAGATTTATTTTTTAATGAATCGCATTTTAATTATTTACCTTAAATCAGACTAATAATTTTTCGGTCCTTTCATCGAATTTTTTTTTCACGAAGATTTATCGATAAATTTAGTAGTACGTATCTGTCCAACACTAGCAAGTATGGGAGGCAGTCGCATTCGCCCCATAAAAAGTTTAAATTAATTTTTCTGGAAACTGAGCCTTATTCCCAGCACCTAGATACCAATTTCAGATACCTGTAGTGTGAAACTATATATACCCTTATTCCAAACGTATAGATTACGATTACAACAAGGTCATTTAACTGATAGTTGCATTAGCCTCAAGGTGGGGTAAATGTAACTTTTAGTGCTCTTATTCAACAAGAATGTAAATTATTCAATAACTTAAGCCTATTTTTCACGTACTTTATGTCGGAACTATTCAATGAAAGGCATGGAATAAAGTAAGTTCATTTAAACAACCATCATAATTAGGTAGCTAATGGTAGAGGACGACAAAGTACCAATTTATAAATTTTTAGTTGCTTTCGCCCCGGGTGACCTTATTATTTACTCCAACTTTGGCTATATGTTTAGTAAAATTGTTATTTGTTTGTTAAATAATGAAAATTCGGCGGTATGCGGTACGTAATTCAAGTATATTACGCATAATAATTGTAGCCTTATCGTACGTGGAATACAATAGTAAAAACATGTCTTGTTTCTAAGGACTAGGGGCATGTAATTTACAAGGATGCACTTGTGACACTCCAAGGCGCGACGAGTAACACGGCCTGTCGCCTGAGTGTTTTCTAAGGAAGTCGTGTTTCTTAGAATAAAATCTTTGCTGAAATTATTACGCACTATGATACAACGAGAATAAACAATGTATTAATATAACTTAGAAATAATGGCTTCAGCGTGCGACTCATATCCTTGAGGTCGTAGGTTCGATCCCCAGCTGTGCACTTACGGTCTAAGTGCGAATTTATCATTAGTACGAAAGGTGAAGGAAAACATCGTGAGGAAACCGGCTGATCAGTGATCACCTTCATACCTGATCATAAAACAGATACAGAAATCTGAGGCCCAGACCTAAAAAGGTTTTAGCGCCGCTGATTTATTTTATTATTTTTTGTTTATTATAATGTAACACAAATATACATTATTCACAATATTCTTAACATATATTATAACTAAATATATTTTCGATACGTTATTTCAAACAACAGGTACCATGGCTATTTTGCTTCCTTATTTTAAAAGAATATGTCGAAATAGTTATTTCCCAATTAGATTGGCTAGTTTATTGATCGATACGTAGAAAATCGTACTGTCAAACTAATCAGCTAGATAAGAGATTTATTGCATATTGTTTAAACCATCGGTATTAATCACACGATTACAATTACTGCGAATATGAAACTTTTTATTTGTAAGTTTTTAATTGATGTCTATTATTATTATTCATAATTATTATTTATTCAAGCGGACAACAAGTCCATATGGTTGTCATTGTTACAATATTGCCTTGAAATATTCTTAAGTAAAACGCTAATCTACTGCGGTGGGTGGCTATCAAACTATTTAATTACCTTCCTAGAAGTTATAGTTTACTGCTGTGTAATACATTTAAAACATTAAATCAAAATTAAAGGTACCTTTATAGTGTGGGAGAACATTTAGATAATATTATCATAATTAATATGATTTGCATGCCTATTTATATATGGCTGATTGTGCGGTATTTTTATTATTAATCAATCTGAATGTACTTTACTAAAGTACTTACATGCAGTCCATCGCAATGACCCATCCAGTTATTACCCGCCGGCACGTTATGTTTATTGGTAGCTGTTATTTATTTTTGTTCCTATCATATGCCGGCTTTTAGTCGAAGTATGCTTACTCAAATAATCTCGGCGTCTCTGTTTCTGAATCTATTATTTTGTTGGAATTTAAGATTTTTAATTTTTAATACCAAATTATTGTTAAATTTTGGCTTGTTGACCGGTTGTGAGTAAGAAAACGCTTGAATTTGAACCTAGGTTAATAAAAATTTTTAGGCAAGCGAAAAGATTAGGGAAAAATAGCTACAATGTAACACAAATAAATCTATTGTATGAGACACATACATTTTCTATAATCTCTTATAGAAAATGTGAAAATCACTTAAGGTCTTGGAGATATGAATTGTCTAAATAATATAATATACTACACAATAGAGTTTTGGCATGAGTTGAAGGCACGACCCCATCGTTGACAGTCACATGCAAACCACTAATTGTGTAAATAAATTCATGAAATACGGCATTTTTAGTTTTTATGATACTTCTTGTCAATGGAATCGACACAAGAAGAAAGAAACAGATGAGAGATTCAGGTGGAAGCCTGGAAACGAATTCTTATAAGAATCTAGATATGCGAGGAAGGATAAGAAAGTCGTTTTTTGTGGTAATTTTGTTGTTTATTTTAAACTAGCTAACCTGGAAAATGTTCTTTTCCTTTTTTCTCATATAAAATAATAAATAAATCAGTGGCGCTACAACCTCTTTTTCTTTTTTCTTTTTTAAATCTTATAGGCAAGTAGGTGATCAGCCTCCAGTGCCTGACACACGCCGTCGACTTTTTGGGTCTAAGACATGTTGGTTTCCTCACGATGTTTTCCATCACCGTTCGAGAAAATGTTAATATTTTCTCATATAAAGAAGAAAAAAGTAACACATCGACGATAACTTCAAACTCCAGTTTAACGTGTTCCTCCACGGTAATTTCAAAACAAACCATAGACGTGAGATTTATAACAAATGAAATGGTCTCGCCACACCCTAATGATTTGACCATTTTTTTATTGTTGAATTATAATAATAAAAGCCTTTAATTTCAGACTTTACATTTAAATACATTTACATAGATATCATCTCATTAATTCCTTGATATCTTTATGGTAAAAAAAGATAAATAAAAAAGAATAAAAAGGTGTGCCCTTTTTTGGCAAAGGCATCCTTCAAATCACGCCATTTCTGTCTGCACTGTGCCACTATCTGTCATGTTTCTTTCTTTCTCTTTTGAGTTTATTGTACCTTAGGAACCGATTTAATACTTTGTTGCTCCACTTTTCTGTTCCAAAGTTAAAGAAGCCATGGTGATTGCCAGCCTCCGAAAGGAGACGCTACAAGAAGATGATGTCAAAATTGTATTGCATTAAAAATGATTTGTTTGTTTTACCGGAGTCATACTTTGCGCTGTCTGGTTTGTGAATCTCACACTAAAACTAGCAAAAACTATAGCGAAAATCTCGATGTTTTTGTACCCAACGTCTGGATCGCTATGTATCTGTATTATTGATATATTTTTGTATTAAGCACGATGAGACACGCGATTTTTGGCTCTTCGACGTGTTTTTTTACAATGTTGCCTTTTAATGTAGGAGCAAGTATCCATTGTTCACATAGAAAAGTTAAATTACAACCGACACCAGACGGTTTGGGAGACGTACACCACTTTGTCTACTTAAAAAATTTAAGCCCTCGTATAAAGCGTTATTATTTTAGCTGCGTGTGGAGTCTGGACATAATTTTTTTATAATATTATTTATGTTTTGATTCGAATAATGGCATACTCAAAAAAGGACAATATTAGAACTTATTAATCGCTTTATTAAAAAAAAAACTTGTGACCATGATAACCTTATTAAAGTTAAATATGAAAATTATATCGAAACCTTTAACAAATACGGTACAAACTTTAATCCACATTTTATAAGGCACTCTATCTCTCACTATCATTATCTCTAGAACAAAAGGCAAACGGTCAGGATGTTCAGTGATACCAACGCCTAAGGACATTGTCATTGACATTAGGGAAGGAATTGGTTCAGGAAGTACCATCTACATTTTAGAACCAATTTTGTCCCGTTTTCTTCTTTACATAAAGCATCCCTTTTCATCACACAGGACAATTACGCAGTAAGAATGATGTAGTTTCTATGAATAAGGTTTCTTATTTTATAGGCCCACGCACTAGATAATTTAGACTCCAATACAATATGTTCCCCAATATCAGCGCTGTTACCCATCGGTAAACTTGCTCTCGGTGCTGTTAACACCAGTTTGGATGAAATGCTTGAGGCTATCGGAGTTATAAGTCAAAAGAAGGTAGGTCACCTAACATAAATATTAAAACTCTGCAAAAACATTTCTTAACCATATTCTATCCTGTTCAATCGTGACTTGTGTAGTTCTTGTATTTCCTTTTTTTTATTTTTTTTTATTTTAAAAGGCACACTAACGAAACACTTACAGTGAACACATGGCATAGAAAAACAAGATACACGCATGTGCATCAATAACAAGTGTGCACATTATTTAGAGGGAAACATTACAATGATAAAGAGAAAATAACTTTAACATTAAAAGTAAAAAAACAAACTAGACTAAAAAATACAAATGTGCAATTTAAAAATATAAAAAATAATAACAATAATTAATACATTTCTACTTTGTAATTGTCACTATTGGTCACGGATAAACATTTTCTTTTGTATTTCATGAATCCGTGATAACTCTAGCTTTTTAGTTTGTTTTATTAATATTTTTTTTGTATTATTTTAGATTAAGGTTCTAAATTTCTCTGTTTAAAAGATTTAGTTATGCACTTTACTCTACTTTACTATCATATTTCTTTTTTTAATAAATTAATAAAACTTATGAACAACGGGCTCTAATAAAAGTAGGTAAGTATTGAGTAGTCCATGATTACTGAGGAAGTTAAGCCCTTAACTTGAAAAGCGATCTTTAGTCAAAGTAAGTAATCAAAAAAAACCCGTGGTATAGTCCCCAGTAAACCCCAGTACAATGAAAAGGAAGTATATTATAAACACCCAGAATTGCACTAAACTAAGACATTGTCATATGTGAGATTCCTTCACAGATTAAATCACATTTTAAACACTTGATCGCGGAATTGCGTTATCTGCCTGGTGTGAAGTTGGATATAGCAAGCAGACTATACATCAGTACCCAGGCCAGATTAACATCTTCATTTGAATCAGACACGAAGGAAATATTCAGCTCTAGCGCAGAAAAAGTTGATTTCGAATCTCCAGTTATAACTGCGGACAAGATTAATGGATGGGTAATTGTTTCTATGTATATTATTATAGAGAGTTAGATAATATAAAAATAGCAATGGTGCTTCCATTTTTATGCCCTGAGATGTCAGTGTTGATACTAGGTATCAAAATATGAAGGCGTCCGAATCTCATCCCTCGATTATGTTCGATTCCCGGCTGTGCACCAGTGGCCTCTCTCGCGAGGAAACCGGCATGTCTCAAAATTCAAAAATCGACGACGTGTCAGACAGGAGGCTGATTGACTTGTCTATGAAATAAACTGATAAAAAAACGGATTCAATCTGTGGCGAAGACCCTAGAGGGTTGTAGCGCCACTAGATTATTATTATTATGTTAGGTAACTGTTTCCTTTAGTTCGGATAGGCGTGAGGAGGCATCAACCTGCCACCATCGTGATGCCAACGTTGTTGATGACGCGCTCCACACCTTAAAGGATTGCCTAGCATGGGAGGTGGAAAGGAAGCTTCTACTGGGCGTGCTACAGGGCGAGGACGCTACACTCGATAACATTGTTAGAGTAGCAGTTACAAGCTCGGACAGTGACGAGATGTGGGAAATCCTCCCTAGATTCTGCGAAGTCGTTATGTGCCACGCCAAGAAGAGGCGGAGAGGTTCTGGGAGGTCGAGTCCGCAGCCCATTCCGTTGCACCGTGCAACCCCTTGTGTAATCCTGGTCACGCAGTCAAATTGGCTGATGTGAATTGCCCTTGCTCTGCCAAGCTCCATTCCACATCATTCGCGGCCGTAGAGGACCGTGATATTAATGGCTAATCGCGCTACCGTGTCCTGCCCCGGGTGATTGCTGGTGGCGCTGTGGGGTTTTAGTGGGTATGCACAGCAGCGAGTCCCACATAACCCTTCACCATCAGGCTACTGTGCCGCGGGAGGGTACTCGTACACTGCTGCATACGGGTATAAGCCAAGTTGTGTTTTTTTTTAATACATGTGTCTTTATTAAGACATCATGGAAAATTAATATCTAGCATAACTTCAGACTAATAAGTAAATTAAGTCTAGCCTATTTTACTAAAAAGGACATTTAACATAAGAAAGTGTCCTAATAACACTACTTACAGTCTCTATTAAATGGAAGGCAATCTGTTCTTGTGTTATAAAGGCAAGTGACCAAAGATTTGTATTATTATTGTTTAACAATTTTAACTAGAAATTTACTGAATCAAAATTTTAAATATATTTTACGTCGCCAATACGACAGTTACTATATATCACTAGCTGACCGTGCAAACGTCGTTTTGCCATATATATCATTTATAATAAAAAAATAGGGGTTGATCGTAGAGGGGTGAAAGTTAAGGGTTTGTATGTATTTTTTAATGCTGTATCATAAAAAAATAAAAACAGAAAAAAATATCTAAAAATAAAAAAAAAATATTTAGGGGTGGACTACCCTTAACATTTAGGGGGATGAAAAATAAATGTTGTCCGATTCTCAGACATACCCAATATGCACACAAAATTTCATGAGAATCGGTCGAGCCGTTTTGGAGGAGTATGGCAACGAAAACTGCTGTGACACGAGAATTTTATATATTAGATTAATAAATATCGAATGAAAATATGATGTGTAAAACACAATTAGTCACTCTGACTTAAAGTAAAAATAATTTTAGGTGGAATCCCAAACAGCTAACATGATCCACGACATGATATCACCAGATGAAATTGATCCAGAGATGTCTTTAATTATGATAAATGCTATATATTTTAATGTAAGTAAAATCATGTCTCATGGAACTTGTGGAAGCGGCGTTTTATAAATAGTTGTTCAAGTAGGCTCTAATACATTTACAATGCAATTAGATTAAGCAACGCATTTACGTATACTGGTAATACTACAAATAACTATTTATTATAGTTGCTTTGGTTAATGTTCCTTGTTTTGAGTCAGCGCCATCTAGTGCGTAATATAAACATTGTATGAGATTTGGAAAGAAGACACGCGATTCTATTCGAGTAGAAAGATAAGATTCAAGTGAATTACAACCAGCGTACCAATTCTTAGAAGGCCGGCACGAACTCGCAAGTCTTCTAGCATTGAGTGTCACTGGGCGGTATCAATTACCATCTGGTAAGCGTTCTGCCCGTGTTCTATAAATAAAAACAGTATCGTCTAGAGCGAAACATCTGTAGCCATCGGTGTCCAGCGTGTCTCTCTCTTACTGAGGTGTCGGGAATGAGTCTTTCACTTTCACCTAATAGTTTCGGCTACGCAAATTTAACCTTATTTTTAAGAAGAAATTTAATATATTCGGAGCAATAGACTTTTTGGCGCGTGTGTGCTATGTGTACAACAACAAAAAAAGGATTTGTGGGTGTGTGCGTACACCGATTACATACATGTTTATTATAGTAATATTTGTTTATGTGGATGACTTATTACACAATAAAATTACTACATTTACGATTCAAAGGCTTCGTCTTCTTTTGTGTGTGTCTTTGAGAGTCTGCTATGCCCCATTGGAAAGTAACTGGACTTTATATATTTTTCATGTTCCATAGAAGAAGAAGAAGAAGAGAGAAGAAGAGAATGCAGATAGTTCTCCTGTATCTCGACTAGGCTACGTTCTTAAATATGTCCCATATTTTTAACCTTAATTATATTTTAGGGAAAGTGGGAAACGCCATTTAAAAAATTAGAAACGGCGACATTTCATACGCCCATAGATGTTCGACGCGTAAATATGATGTCTGTAAATTCACATTTCAATTATACAGAATGTGCGGCCCTCAATGCACAGGTATTAGAAATATTCTGTAATCTACGCATTACATATTACATGTATGGTCCTATACATTCTTTCCAGGAAAGTGTATTGATCATCCAATCTTAATTATTAATAATTGTATACGTACTCATAACTTTGACACATTATGATGGCGCCATTCAGGATGTGACGTCATCGTACTGATTGAAACCACAGAGTTTAGATGTTGATATCTTAATATATATATTTCTTCTGTGCGTGTGTATGTGACTGAACTCCTCTCAAACGACTGGACCGATTTTGATGAAATTTTTTGTGTGTGTTCAAGGGGATCTGGGAATGGTTTAGATTCACAAATCAGCCCGGCAGATGGCACTGCAGTCGGTACTTTCATACTTTGCTTAATATCCTAATCGCTTTAAATATCATGCAGGACAACGTCTGTGGGGTCCACTAGTATCTATATAAAATTCTGGCGATGTCAATCAAACTCCTCATATGCAGCTGGATTAATTTTTATTATTTTTGTATGTTCGGTAGGTCTGAAAATTCATCGTAAACTTAGTGTGTTCAAAACAAAATTTTTGATTTTTTATTAAGAAAAATATATATACCTAAGTTGGTAGCTATGAAAAAAATCACAAAGACTTTCTCACATTATTAGGGCCCTCCCTGGTAAAATTGTACCGTAAATAAAAAAATATTAACATTAAACAGAAAAAAATAAAAAATTCGTAATTTAATTTTTTTTTAATTATGTTTTTTTTTAGATTCTCAAACTCCCATACACCGGTGGAACAGCTGCTCTAATAATTATATTACCCAAGGCGCGAAACGGTTTGCCGCTTCTCCTTCATCAAATAAAGTTAGCACCAGAAATATTAGACTCCGCTTTAAACTCCATGTTGGTGCACACGGTGCAGGCTACGATACCGAAGTTCAGGTTAGAAAGTGAAATGGATTTGAGGCAAATGTATGAAAAGGTACGAATATTTATAACTAGTAGACTCGGCCAAGCGTTGCTGTGGCTAAGATTTTTGTTATATTACATAGTAGTAAACTATTCAAGAGAAACGGCTGGAGAACACCAATCCACCATGCTTTTTTGATGGTTATGCCATTAAATTGTAGCTTATGTAAAACGTTGGTATTTATTTTGATAAGGATTAATACCTAGGTACGAATAAAGAGTTTTTTCTAGCGGTGGTATTTTAATAACAAATTAATAATAGGACGCTTATTGTGACGTAACTATAAAAGATGAGACATGCTGTCGCGACATTTTTTATAGATAGTGATGTGTCCTGAAAAATTGTGATACATCATTAATAGTTTTCACAGCGCACGAGATTATAGGAAGTTTTTTGTTTATTTTTTTTACACCTTGGATTAGATTATTCAAGTTTTAGTAAGGGATGCTGCTGCTGCTTTTTTAAAAATGAGCTATGTCACTCGACAATAGTGTAGCTTGCCAACGGTGAAAGAATTTTTGAAATCGGTCCAGTAGTTTCGGAGCCTATTCATTTCAAACAAACAAACAAAAAACCAAATCTTTCCTCTTTATAATATTAGTATAAGTATAGTATAGAATACGAAAATGTCGTCTTTAAGAGAAGTGTCGGTCTAGTGAATGCAACATCATGAGGAAAATGGCTTTAAGCCCAAAAATCTTTTTTTTATTTTTATATAACTGGTGGCAAACGGGCAGGAGGCTCACCTGATGTTAAGTGATGGCCAGAAGGCTCGCAAGTGCGTTGCCAGCCTTTTAAAAGGGGATGGGCTTCGGGAATCTCAGTCACTGGACGAACCACGTGTACAATTAGGCGAACCTATGGCATCACGTAACGTCGGTTTTCTGAGAGACAGTGGTAGGGGAGCGTGGGGCTAGTTGTAACAATTTTAACAAATAATTGAATATCATGAAGAATATTGGCTAAATTACTACTAAATAAACTTTGATCGATACTCTAACTATTTATCTATGAAGTCGAATCGAAATATTATCAAATCTACAGGTAACTATCTCACAATTATTTTTTTTCTAAAAAAAGAGAAGTGTTACAACTTACCCCGTGGTTGGGGCTAGTTGTAACAACAAAAATGACACCTTCAATCGTTTAATTTTTTCACATCTTGGATCATTTTATCTCTTAGTTCTACCTTACATCTTACCATCGCAGATTTGTTAACTTTTCCTTCCCCTTTCACTTTTCTTTATCATCTTCTTTTTGCATTTTCTTCATCTTTTCTTCATATTCTACTCTCAAAGCTTCATTTTCAGGCGTATCAGTCAGAACAGCAGACTTCCTTTTGCGTCTGCAATTTATATTTGTTTTTCGTGGTGGCGCCTTTGGTAATGGTCTAACTTTTGATGGGAAAAATTGATTTTGACCAGAGCAACTTGGAGTTAGTTTGTTCGCAGTTTCAATGTGGCGTATAATTTCTGTTGTGCTGATATCCACTTCAGGAGCAGAATCTAATAGTTCTGGATGTTTAAGACTCAACGATAAAGAAATTCTCACTTTCATTTAGAACATTTTCTGATTGTTATGTAGGCTCTGGATGATCAGTAACATAAGAGAGCGCAAAGTCACTATCTTGGAAAATATCAACATTCAAAGGCCAAATACCAGAAGCTTTAAGTCCACTGATAATGACTCCTTCACTACACTTGGGATGTCATAAATTGTCATCGTTTTTCCTGGATTATTATACATCCATGCAGTCTGTGCTCTGTTCACGTAGTTTTTAAAAGGCCCGTAGACTCCTACATACATAGGTTGAAAATTGTGGGAGCAATGGGAGGAAAACTATAACATGATAACATTGTTTTCTTTGGCTTTTTCGACAACTGAGCTGACACTACTCACAACTGAGAGACAACATTCACATGTGAGCCATGATTATCGAGCAGTAACAGAACTGGCTCTTTCTTGGTAGGTTTCGCGTGTTTGATAAAGTGATCTACAAAAATCAAAAATTCTTTATCAGTCATCCTCCACCCTGAAGAATTGCCAGCTCCAATGCAATCTTCAGGTCCACCGCGAATGAACATTTGTGAGTATTTAAGCCGGGGAAAAAAAACATCGGCCGTCAGTAACTTACAGCAATCTGGGGGCAAATTGTAACATGTTACAACAAACCCCGAGGTTTTGTTACAACTAGCCCCTTGATAGAGTTCTTAATATTTATCACGATAACTATTAAATTAACTTAGTAATCTTGAAAACTGTTATACAACATCATAAATAGTTATATTTTAGCATAAAATAAAATACATAAAACTTCAAAGTTACGAAAATAGTGAAACTAACCAAAAATTTACGTTAGTAAAATTATAGGTTTCCTGTCAACAATTAAGCGTTTGCACACACCCACTCACTGAGCCGCCTGGTAGGACCCTGGCTGTGGTAAAGTGGCGTGGCACGTTATAAGTTGAAGATTAGGTAAAAAAAACCTTGAATAAAATTCAAATTCCTATTGAAAAAGGTCTGTTACTATTTACCCCTGTAACAACAAGCCCCGCGCTCCCCTACTGCACCGGTCGTGCCTGCCCATTTGGCTAAACAGACATCTTACGGATGATAGTCGAAAGAATGGAGTGCCCCTATTTACGACACTGCTCCGACATCTCCGCAGGGCTTTGTACCTGATAGTTTTTATTTAACTACTTTTTCCTTATTTTTACTAATTCTCTAACAGAGATCTTAAGAAACTATTGTTACTAACTCACTAATCAATCAATGGACTGTATTTGTCTGATTAATAAAAAATATTATTATTATTATTATATTATTAAAGCTTGAAGACAATGTATGCTTCATTGGTTGGTTGGGAAATATTCGGAATTCAATTTTTTTTTTAAATTCAACCAAATTCAATTTTATATTACAAATTTGAAAATAGAATTGTTTGAGCTCGATAGTATCGTTCTAAATTTAAATAAAATACAGTCAAATTCAATTTCAAGCAATAATGAATTTTAGTAAAAAGCAACGCACTTGAAAATTTAGATAAGCCATGTCTTGCTGTGAGAATGACTTGCTTATTTTGTTAATATCGATAAAACTACTTTGTAGATTTAAGAAAGGGCTAAGAAGGTCGTCAATCTTACTTAACATATTACCAATAGTAGTGGAATTACTTTTAACTCTATAGATGTACGATGCTCTTTTGTTATTCTTGCGTACTTCGATGCGCTGTCATTTTATCTATATATGTCCGTCAGTGTATATATAAAAATGTTATGTTGGTTTGTGCACGCTTCAAAAACTCAAAAAGTGCTGCACCGATCGAGCTGAAATTGTAGCATGATATATAATCCGCATCAAGGATTGTTTGTATCTATCTTTTTAATCTTTTTTTTTTTTTTTTTTTCCACAGGTACTTCAAAATTAAACTTATATGAAATCTTTTCTTTGTTTTGTTTCTCATTTCTCAACCATTAAATCACAATATGCCTCATCGAAGCGTGGCAGGGAACAGCTATTGTATAATATTTGGACTGATAATTATTTTTTAAAGCCTAACCTATTACGTATATTACAGGTGGGAATAAGAAAAATATTCAAACAATACGAATCCGATTTAACTGGTATTGTGAGGGACAAAATTGTGACCGTCTCTAAAGCGAAACAAAAGGCAGTTATTGATGTGAACGAACGAGGTACTGAGGCAGCGGCTTCGTCTTGTAAGTATAATTTTTACCAAAAGGAAACACGATTATGAAATCAGTAATTCATTTTTCCATAGAAAGCTTATCAATGTTGAAGTAACCGTGTTTTAATTTGTTTAAATTCTTATTCCTTCTGAGTAGTTGATCTCACGACATATTTAACGATTTCAATTCATAGAATAAGCATTATTTAGCTATAGAGGAAATTAAAAGCAGGATTGGCTAGACGTTCGCCGAGTTCGTAGGTTCGAACCTCGGTTGTAGACTTTCTGTGTATGTTAACTTTAGCAACAAAGGATAACGTAGAGATAACATGCACAGGCTGATCCTACTTGCCTATTGTCAAAAACAAATGATGAAACAGGAGATACAGTAGATCAAGGGTAGAGCCACTGGTTTTTTATAAAGGAATTTGATTGCCAAACATGGCTTATGTAACATGGAGTATATTTAATCAAAAAATTCAGTCTTGCATTTCACTCCAGTTCTTCCATAGAACGTAGGTCTTGAGGCATTAGTCAAACATATAATTAATTTTCTATATAGGCGTACGACTTATCTGCGTCACACAAGTAGACTTTTATAGTGGCTATAACTAAAATGGTGATAGAAATTGTGTTAATAAAAAATAATGACTCAATCTCATAAATTGATTTGGGTTATTCCCCTTTTAATAAAAATACTTCCATTGTAAAACTGATAAAGCAATAACAATAAAAATCACGTGTCAATTACAGCCAGTTTACAACACAATAATTGATACGCCTTCTAATGTCAAGATTATTAATTATGCCCTTTGTCTATCGAAAATGATGTTTGAATTCGAAAAACTACTGAGATTACCGCACACAAATTTTTCAGCATTGAATTGTAAACTATTGTTTTAGCCTAGACTAGTCCTATCTTCGAACCCTAACAGTATTCTTTCTTTGACCCAATTACAGCACTGTGGGATCGTGGGTAAAAATAAAAAAAGTGTGTGCGTGTAACCTTTACGTGCGATTGAAGTAAAACTTCTTTGGCGTTGACGGCATATATCACTGAAATGATTGAATATTAACTTAAATAGTAAATATCATATAATTGAAATTATATTTATTAGTCATGTGCTTTACAAAGATTATTCAAATACAAAGGTTAGATCAGCAGATATCAATATAACCTTGTTATGTATTGATTTGCTGTTTTAAAAGAGTACCGAGAGTTTTTTACGCCGGCTTTTTTCTCTCGGCCTACACCCTCTGTCTTCTTTGCCGATGAGTAGGGATGCCTTCAAATTTAATGACGTGGAATAAGTGATGCATGTATCTTATGTTCCATAATAAACATTTTATTTTTATTTTATTTTATTTATATTGAATATTATAGAATGTCGCAATCGTCAGAAAATTTATTATTAATTTACTTATTTTAAAAGTAATAAATCAATAAGTATATTTAGAGATTTTCATAATACTTTGCAATTTAAAATATTTACGAAAAATTTGGAAATAAAAATAATCCTAATTGATTATGATATTTGCCAACAGCTTGCGTATTAAAGAAGCGTGGAGTATATGACAATTGACATATACTTACGACTAATCCGAATTATTATTTTTAAATAGCGGAACTACACAGACTAACTAACTACACTAGTAAGGGTTACTTCCGTCAGAAAAAAAATCTGAGTTACTCCCTAGTCGCGCCTAAAGAAGTTTTACTTCAAAAATCGGTATCAGCACAGCGTGGCTAGAATGGCTTAGAAAATTATTATTGCAGTTGCGGAAGTGTAAACTTACAAATAAAAACTCTATACATGGCTGAAATATGGTTGTGACAAAATTGATCTAACGCTACTCTCCACACTAGGGAGCCCCTGTGGGTAACTAGATTACAATTCCGTGGTACTTGGTGTATGTTTAAACCATTTTTTTTAAGAAAAAGTAGTAAGTACGCTTAAGTATGCGTGAACGTATGAGTATGTGGATGGATGTGTGTGTATAAGCGTGCGCTGTGTCTGTGTTAGTTTTTGGAACCTCAGAGTCATGTCAAAATATATATTAAGGCCTATATGAATTTTGATATTTTGTTTTAGCAACAAGCATGCTTCAAATGTCGCTGTCGAAAACCGTCAAATTCAAGGCTGATCATCCATTCTTGTTCATACTGCTGTCAAACACTCAGCAGTTGTTCGCTGGGACCCTCGTACATCCACATACAGCTGGAAAAAGAGGCTAAATGATATGTTAAGCTGTGACTTGTATACAGTTTTGTTTCAAGTGATATTACATTTTGGTAAAGAAGGCTGTGTTTGTCTGTATTTGATTAGCTTAACGCTTGCGAGCGTTCTGGCAATGTGAGTATCACTTCACATCAGTCCTGCCCGTTTGCCCCTCGTCACATAAAAATAATAAAAAACTGGGGAATACGGAACTGAAATTGCTTCTAATACATTATAAGTAACTGAAATATAACGATTATTTCAAGTGAGATCATATAAGAACTTGCCATTCACACAAAATCAACGCGGGCTAAACTGTTATATAGGTATTTATATTAAAAATAATTAATTTTAGATTTTTGTGATTTGTATATGCTATGAAGTGATTTTTTTATTTTCTGACGATTTAACACGAGTATTTTAACAACATTATTTTACAGGCTATGAAATAAATATTATGTTTGATTGATTAAATGTTTTATTTAAAGTTGTACATAGTACTTGTACATCGAAGCCAATGACTTGTTTGAATACGGTTAATACGTGTTTGCGCTTAGGTGAAATTTTTGCCAAAACAAAGATCATACGTTTCTGCATTTATTGCACATTTTTTTAAATAAACCGAATTTCATTATAACATATAGGTTCGTATTCTAGAACGCTAATCAAACTTCTTGAAAGCTTGAAATGTTCAACAGTTCTCACGACAAGATTGAGTATACGAATTAGAATATGAGCCCTTAACAGTTATTAAGATAAAAAAATCAAAGACGCGAAGTAAAAAGCTCTTCATTTTGAGGTCCATCAATTGCTAATGAGTCTCGAAACTTCAAAACATCAATTCATCAGCATTTATCACATCCCCAACTTCGTCGATTAGGGATAACTTTTCACGCATGCGCACACAACTTTGTCACTTTGAAATTCAGTCACCCCATTATTTACGAATCACCCTCAGTACCATTCCGCACCCCATGACGCTAGCTCCTATTGCGATGTGACGAGAAATCCGAAACTTTTACGCGAATTTCCTTTGAGTTTTGGAAAAAATGTGATAGTGGATATGGAACAGGATAAATTCCGAAAGAGGAATGGTGTCTATGTAAAGTTTAAAAATATTACTTATAAATGGAAGTGAAGTTTCTGGTTTACCTAGTGTTGGCTGAATTGGTATTTTTCATTAATGCGGTGACTAGTAAGTTAATTGTCTTTATTATATAGACTTGTTTAAGCCTGTTTTAACTAAAGCACTGGTCTCTTTTCATCATAGAGCAAATGTAGATATACTTTAGGTAAGATAGTAAGGAATTATCAATTATTAAAAAAAAACTTCAATTCCCTAAATAATTTTTATGCAAAAGTGAAGCTCAAATAAACTTAAAGCATTAAAATATTTTAGATGTTGAAAAAGATGAAGGTAGCAAAGGGAAAAATGATATTAGAGAAGAAATCGAGAAACCTCTCGACTTTCTTACCAACCACCCAAAGGGTGAAATCAAAGATTACTTCTTACCAGCTGTATTTCCCAATCACGAGGAAATGGAAGAGGATGAGGAAGAAGACGAAGCAGAACAGACCTATTTAGATTATGAAGACAGTAATTATAAGGACCCAACAGAGACCACAATTAAAAACGATGAATCACACATTGATGATAAGATCCCACTACATCCAACTAATGATAATCTACCAGTATTCTTGCTTGAACCAGAAAATACGTATGTTGTTAAAAATAAACCAGCTATTCTAAAATGCAGCGCTGCAAATGCTTTAGATGTAAGTAAGGAATAATACATAGCACATTAAGACATTATGATAATGACTACTATGGGAAGGAACTTAGTTTGACATTACAGTTTTCTTTGGGCAAACAATAATTAATTTAATGGTTAATTATTTAACTCATAACTCAACATTTTGACGATGAAGACGAATATATGTCGTTATTATCGTAATGTTCTGACAGTCTCTGGCTGACCACATTTGTTTTCTATATAATCTCATAAATTAGATTTCATTATCTACAAAACAATTGTATTTTAGTGTACTCTTAATCGCATCCAAAGATAATGGATTTCTTTCTATTAATATCGTATTATTGTAGGTATATTTTAACTGTAATGGAGTTAAAACTCTATCAACGAACTTCGAATTTGTGGACCCTCAAACTGGAGTTAGGATTATTGAAGGGGAATATAAAGTGACAAGAGATAAAGTCGATGAATATTTTGGAAGTGAGAAATTCCAATGCTCTTGCTTTGCCTGGACTAGCAGAGGTCATGTGTGGAGTCAGCCTGCGACTATTGAGCTTGCTTGTAAGTTAAATAGATTTTATTAGAATAATGGACGAACATTTTTAGATGAAAAAATACGTTATAAAACGTTATTTTAACATAATTGTAACTGACAATGCTTGAAATCTCTCGAAAACTTTTTAATACGTCAGGCAAGGCAGAATACTAAATACCATCCGTATCACCTTGACGTCCATCGTTCCACAACTGAGCGTTTCTTAAGGCAATTTCTGCCGCGCAACACCACTAACTAGCTACCCACTGACATATTTCCGAACTAATTCGACTTAGGGTCGTTCAAGAAAAAAGCGTACCAATTCTTAAAAGGCCGGCAGCGCGCTTGCGAGCCTTCTGGCAGTTCGAGTGTCCATGGGCTGCGATATCACTTAGCATCAGATGAACCTCCTTCCCAATTTTGCCTCCTGTAACATAAGAAAAATTGGCTTGAAGTTTGTACATATTATGATGGATGAATTAAACACAATTTTAGTTAAAGTCAATTAAATTATGTATTGTTATATTATATCTTAGTAACTTAAAAGGTATAATCTAAGAACTCCGTTACATTATACAAGCACCGTGCCTTAACTTTAACAATCTAAACACCTTTCTCTTGAAATCATTTTACGGTGGTGTTCTGAAGCAAGGTGATTAGATAGTTTGATCAACTACGGCGTAGCTATTTTTTTACAGCACGGGGCTAAATAAATAAAAATACTATAACTGCTAAAGTTTTCCATTAAAAATATGCTTCGAGTGTAGAATAATATTGAGTTTATAATAGAATATAAATGAGATAAATCAAATAATTAAATATATCAACAACTTCCATCACAGGACAACTGAAAAACAATTATGTACAAACTAATTATTCATTCATTTTATCTTTGTAAATATAACAATACTTTTTGCGATATGAAGCACTTTGTGAAAAAGATTCTACTTCAACATATCTATATATATCCGTTTATATATACGCGTATCACAATAGCACCCCAATCCTAGTGAAATTGAAAAGTGACATTCCCATGTGAGCCTCCCTAAATGCTCTTTGAAGGAACTAGTAATAATTTTAGGCACGCGGGCTAAATTCAAGAGTGCCTTTTTAACACAAATTTGTTAAATTTAATGTTTTAATTATATCATATAAATAATTTAGCGGCAAATAGTCCAGTAACATCGGCCGAAAAAGATATTGTATAATAAATAATACTATCATTTTTATAACTGGAAACATAAATAAATATGCATTAAACTTAAATACTAAATTACACGAAATCACAAACACAAACACGATAGAGTTTTCTCGGGTCAAATATTAACGGAATAGCTAATCTTTTTAACAATAGTACTTGACAATTTAATTGTTGTTTAAGTATTTCATATCAATAGATTAAAAGCAATGTTGGTCTAGTGGCTTTAGCGTGCGACTCTCATTCCTGAGGTCGTAAGTTCGATCCCCGGCTGTATACCAATGGAGTTTCTTTCTATGTGCGCATTTAAAAATCGCTCTTACGGTGAAGGAAAACATCTTAAGGAAACCAGCTAGCCTTAGACCCAAAAAGTCGACGGCATATGTCAGGCACAGGAGGCTGGTCACCTACTTGAAAAATTATCATGAAACAGATACAGATCTAAGGCCCAGCCAAAAAGGTTGTAGCGCCACTGATTTTTTTAAAATTATTATATCTATAGATTGTTTATTAATATTGAACCAAGTTTAGCTCTAAATGTTTTCTATAAAATGTAACATTTATTGTATATTTATCAAGGAGACAGTGACTCAATTCTGAAAATCTGGTTATATATACATAAAAATTATTCTATTTTTGAAGTGAAACTTCTTTAGGCGCATGAGAGTAAAATTTTTACGGAACGTCACGAAGATGTCCAGCGTTTTTGTCGAGGGAGAAAAGGGAGAGAGCAATTGAGAGAGAGTGAGAAGGGTGAATTACCTTATAGAAATTCTAATTTTACAATTTAAATTTCTTAAAGAGAATTTATTAAATAAGTATTTTATATTTTATGCAAAATAATTTATTTTAAATTAAAATGCCACGTGTATAATAAAATATCGAAGAAATAAATTTAAAAAAATTAAATTAATATTTTGTAGGTATTAATATTCGACACTTTTAATATTTTAATGACAATTAAATTCATAAAATATCTTCCTTTTCCCCTTCCTCTAAGTCTCGGAAATCTAATGTTTTAGATTTCTATAAATATGAACAAGAGTTACAAATTAATTTGCCAAAGAAGTTTCACTTCTGACATGTGTACTTTGCAATTTGTAATTGTGTTTGTAAGTTGTAAAAAAATAAAACCACAAAATGAATCATATAACTCTTTAATTGTTTGACTTTACACCAAGTTGAAAATGTCAAAACGAATACATTAAGTTATACGACATGTCAATACAGCTCTATTCTAATATTATTACATATATTTGTAGATATAAAGAAGCATTTCATATTAGCACCCCAATCTCAGCTGGTGAAATTGAATAGTGGAGTGACATTCCGGTGTGAGCCACCCCAAGCGGCGCCATTTCCACAAACGTACTGGCTGAAAAATGGCGGACCCGTCGTAGCCGATGACAATGTACAAATAACTAAAGAAGGCAATTTGGTTATTAAACAGGCCACTTTATTGGTAAGATTTAATTTACGATAAATGTAAGTTTTATTGCTTTAGGTATTTATTTGTTAATTAATTTATTGAATCAATAACAGCTGTAAAACACTACACTCAACTGTCATCGTATATGTTAGTACTTTAAGATAGTATGTAAGTTAGGTTATATATTTTTTGCTGTATATAATGTTGGCTACATCTAATTCTGTCTGGAACCAAATATTCTACAACCAAATATGCAATTTTCAGGTCTCTGTCGTACATTGACTATTTTTGTTCTCCTAATAATATTTTACAATTATAAATTCAAATGCATTTTTTAATGACAAATGCTTGTATTATTCTAAAATATTTATCCCGCTTTAAGGTTCTATAAGCCTTTATAGTTGTATATTACAAAACTTAAAACTAAACCGGTTTTATTTTTTTCGGTTGTATGGAAAAAATAATTTTCAAATGAGTATTAAATCTCTGATGCGAATGTTTAATACTGGTCATTCTCACCCATATATGTACCATAAAAAATTGCTTTAAATTGTAATATTTTATAAGATTTATCTAGGTTTGGGAAAACAATATCCGAGCGTAGAATAAATTTGCAAAAATATTTTGCTTAAGATTGTAAGAGAGAATTTGTTGCTCAAACAAGGTGAATTCCAGGATATGGCGAACTACACCTGCGTCGCTGAGAACGTAGCGGGGAAAAGGATGTCTGAGCCCGCCTTATTAACGGTCTTTGGTGAGTTATCAAATTTCAAGACAAAATTACATTTCTAAATCCTTGTAATACAATATGGAGCAGTGTTGGCCTAGTGGCTTCAGCGTGCGACTCTCATCCCTGAGGTTGTAGGTTCCATCCCCGGCTGTGCACGAATGGACTTTTTTTCTATGTGCGCATTTAACATTCGCTCAAACGGTGAAGGAAAACATCGTGAGGAAACCGACATGTCTTAGACCCAAAAAAGTCGACGGCGTGTGTCAGCCACTGGAGGCTGATCACCTACTTGCCTATTAGATTTAAAAATGATCATGAAACAGATTCAGAAATCTGAGGCCCAGAATGAAAGAGGTTGTAGCGCCACTGATATATTAATTTAAACAAACAATATTAACTATGTTTATTTTATAGATTACACTTTTTCTCTGTTACAAACATATCCTAAACCTTAGTTTATTGCTAGTAGTGTATTTTTATTAACCAATATGTGAAACCACCTATTGAAGTATTTTCGAACCAATACGACATAAGATCCTTCAAGAAAAGAGTGTTCCAATTATTAAAAGACCGACAACGTACTCGTGAGTTCTCTGGCATTGAGAGTGTCCTTGTGCGGCCGTATTATCGTGCCCGTTTACCCCCTGTTCTATAAAAAAATAATCTATACTAAATACGAAATATTTGTATATTTGGCAGGAAAGATTTGTAGATTAAGGAACTTCAAAACTGAACTGATTTCATCATAAACCAACTACTCAATTACTTCCAGTATACAATATAGTATTGCATCACTTTTGTCGCAAAGCGTAATTTAAAATTATAATACAGATTTATTATAATTCAGAGAGAAAAGAGATATATTTATTTGGTTGAAACTAAGGAACTTTAAAAAAGCATTAGTTGGTACAACACTTATTTTCAGATCATAAAATATAATGAAAGTGCGGGCGTGTTTTGTCTGCCGACGGTTTGCGTTTGTTGTTTTATTATTATGACTCAGTGTTTCAAACTAAGTGAATCATCGTGCTCAATGATAAGAATAGTGTCAATGGCTGCAGTTTCTAACAATTTCTTTGTACACCAAAGCCTTGAAAAAAATAAATTGACTGAGTTACTTACCAGTTCTTATCGCCCGCTCTACAGTGGCGCTACAACCTGTTTAGGTGTGGGCCTCAGATTACTGCATCTGTTTCATGATAATTTATCAATCTCATAGGCAAGTAGGTAATCAGCCTCTTGCATCTGACACACGCCATCGACGTTTTCGGGTCTAACGCAAGCCGGTTTTCTCAGAATGTTTTCCTTCACCGTTCAATGTTAAATGCGTACATAGAAAGAAAGTCCATTGGTGCACAGCCGGGGATCGAACCTACGACCTAGGCCAACACTGCTCAAATTAAACAAAAAATATAATAAATCTTCGACATTTTTAAAATTGCCAACAATATTTTAGTGAATGGAGGCTGGACGACATGGTCTACATGGAGCGACTGCTTCTGTGCTGGACAGCCTCGTGAGGGTCGCGGCAGGAGACGAGTGAGGACCTGCACGTCCCCAAGACCTATGAATGGCGGTCAAGCATGCGTAGGACCTAGTATTCAGAAAACGCAGGATTGTTTTGACTGTGATTTGGGTAAAGAAGCTTTTTAGAATCCATTCAGTTAGTCAAGATATCTTAAATTCAGAAGTGTGACTCACAGTCTGCTGCATCTCTGAAATGTCATACTTTATGTTATTGACTTTTTTATTACACAGTATTAAGTCTTACTTGGCGCTGTCTCAGCTGAATCTTGCTCTTAGAGTAGTTCAGGTTGATTAATAATTAAAAAATTATTAATCATCACATCATAAATATAATAAAAAATCAATAACAAGAAGATTAAAACAAAGTATTGTCTTTGATTAACATAACCTTTACACGTTTAAAGAAAAAACTTTTTTACCGGATTAAAGTTATGTATTATTATAAATTTACATTTATTTAACATAATAATTAATATAATAATTGTAAATTTATAATAATACATAACTTTAATCCGGTAAAAAAGTTTTTTCTTTAGATTAAAACAAATGTAAAAAGTTTGTGTCCCTGCGGCAGTGTACCTTTAACGCTGGCAGCATTTCCTCGCTGTATTGCGATTTTAAATACATAATATATTTCTCAGATGTTTACGTAGACACATTGGATGAGCTGGCTGATGAATCGTCGGATATTATTATTGGTAAGAATTTTAATTAATATTCTTTCATTACGTTGAATTAGTCAATTTAGTATTGTTTGGTTGTGCTTTTAATAATATAAAATCACATATCACATTATTATGACTATGCAAATTAAGAATACTATTCGTTTACCACCCGTATCACCTCGACGTCTGTCGTTCCACAACTGAGCGTTACTTAAGATTGATTTTGCCGCACACCACCAGTAACCAGCTGCCCAATTAAATATTTCCAAACCAATTCGAGTTAGTCCTTAATTTCCAAAAAGGCGGCAATGCAATTACGAGCCTTCTTGCAATGTGAGTGTCCATGGGCGGTAACACTTAACATCAGATGAGCCTCCTGCCTGTTTGCCCTGTTACAAAGACGTGGTTTCATTCGTATTGTTGAAACCAGACCTTCTGGGTGCATACGAACCTAGAGGGTTATGCCAGATTCAACAGGTTATGCCAGGTGGAATCCGATTTTGACAGCTGAAATTTATATAAAAGTGTTAAGAAAATAAGAGGACCAAACTTAAAACATATGGTTAAATTTGCCTTTGAAAGTATTTGTTTTTCCAAGCATAAAATATATATATGCCCAGTGAAAAAGTTAGTATAGAAAACGATATTTTTATCTAGGAGCATATTTCATACAGAAACCTAAAGCACCAAGCATGTTTATTGTATAATAACATCAATGGAACATACGTAGAAATGTGTGCCTTATAAAGCGTGTCATTGGGATGTTACGGGACAATTTTGCCTTCTAGGTCGTTGGTCGAAATGGTCGGAATGGTCCCGTTGTGACTCGGATTGTCTACAAACGCGTCGAAGGCGCTGCGTTACAAGCACAGCCTGCCTCGGAAAGGATTATCAAGTCGCACAATGTCCACTTTGTATTCGAACATCGAAATCTGATCTGCTACATGACGGTAGATACATTTTTAAACCCACCTCCTTACAACAAAATTTAAAAATTTGGTTTTTAATTTACTAAACTGCGCACTAAAATACTCTTGTCTCTGTCTCACATGTTGTGTTGAGTCTGTGATGAAAAGAGAGACAATTATTTATGAAATAGAATTAACTAACGGTACTTATTTATTATTAATTAGTATTTAACTTAGACTCAGATAAAGATGAAAAAAATGTTAACCAAATTTTATGAAATAATTGAATGTTTTGATGAACCTAGTGCATAAATGTTGGCCGTAAAGTATATAAAGGTTCTTTTAGTTGAAGAACAAACGTCTATGTTATAAAATTTATATTAATTCAGTGTGACTAATTCAAACAAAAAACTATTTTCAGCAATTTCTGACATATTATTCGTTTACAGGTTCATCATATTGGCCCTTATTCATAATAGTATCAATAGCATTCCTTATATTCATTATAGTCGCTGTGTTAGTTATAAAATATATGAAAATAAAAATGACTGAAAACTCACCCTACGTGAAACCGCCGCCAGGTAATTATTTAGTATATTTGTAGATAATATAGATGAGACAATTTCTAGTTTTAATTCAGATTTTGACAGATGACACTTTACATCTGTCTATTGACATTTGACGTTCGGTTGTCATATAAATTTTCTGATGTTTACACTTTACGCAAAATCGAATCAAAAATATTTCTTGTCTTGCTTAGCAACGATATTGAGCAAATTAGACACAAAATTTAAGTCTAGTGAGACTTAAATTTCAGTATCAAATTTTTCATATAACATTCGTTTATATTTTTGTAGGGTCAAATTATTTTGGTAGTGTAATAAAGAGAACACTTACAAACCAGCCAGACTTGATCCACGAGGAATTTCAGACAGTAGCGTTAACAAGACAATCGCACAGACCACCAAATGCCAATGTCCGTCACGAACATTTGTATGAGGTGCCTCAATTGGCTAACAGGTTAGTTTATAATCATTGATATACAAAAAACCCAAGATGCACAATCAACGTCTAAAAAACGTCCTCAAAAAATGAGCGCAACATTCTATATTGTGCGCTCATTTCAAATAGTCTCGCGTCTAATAAGTGGAGTCGATGTTATTTATTTCTGTTTTTTTTATAAATAAATTTATGTACTTTTGAACTTTTTGTGTGTAGTTTTTGACAAATATATTTACGCTATATAAAGTGTAGGTCAGGAGGTAGCCAATTTAACATTTTTTTTTAATTTAAAGAAAAAACTTTTTAACCGGATTAAAGTTATGTATTATTATAAATTTACAATTATTTAACATCCAACACCTTTTGTCTTCAGTCACCGTGACCACGCACGCTGTAAAGCACCCGAAAAGTCGGATAAATTTAAAATTATGTTAAATAGTTGTAAATAAAAAAGTCATGTTCGACTCCATTCAATACCTTGTCCTACCGACCACGGTCGGTCGTAAAATTTTATTGCTTTAAGTACGTATACACTGCGTTGTAATAACAACTTTAAGCAATTCGCGTAAGGTTGATTTTTCAATAATATATGCTTGTAACATATACTGTTATAGACTTACTGTTATAGAAAGGGACAGAAATAGTGTTTCGGGACACTTTCGAGCGTTACTTTTATTCGAGACTGTGCATCTTGGGTTTTTTGTATATCAATGTTTATAATGGACAATTTTGGTTTGCATATTCATTCGTTATATTGCGTATAATTTTTATTTTATTTTATTGATTTTTAAAAGGCACACTAACGAAACACTTACACAGAATACTCGGCGTACAAAAACACAATACATTAATGTGCTTCAATGACAAGTGTGAACCACATTAAAAGAAAAACATTACAATGATAAAAGAGAAAAGAAAATGTACAATAAAAATAAAAGACAATACAAATATGCAATTTAATACAATTCTTCTTTGCAATTATAATTGTTATTATTATTATTTATTTATTTTAATTAATCTTCAGAGATACGGTGCGGTACCGTGAGTATTTAATGTAAATATAGTTTTAAACTTTTATTAACTTTTCAGCGTTTCACAACTTGAAAGTAAAATGTAAATAAAAGATTTAATTTTATTAATAAGAGGGAAGTTTCACTAGGATTTCTAGGATTGTTTTTTTTAGGATCCTAGATTTTTTCTTCTAGTATTTTATGTATAATACAGATCTACTATAAATCTTACATCAATTTATCTCTGAAGTACACCCCAGCTTATTTGCTGGTTACTCCACCGAACTTCATAGAATTATTAGTCATATTTTTTTTTGTTCGTTCGTTTTTTTGTATCGTTTCTACGCAATAAGCTAATACGGGATTTTTCTGCAATTAGCAACTTTACAATATGTTGGATTGTTATTGACATTTTTGTTTTTTATGTTTGTAGTTAGTAATGTAACGTATTTATTTCAGCTATATGTCACCAATAGACCATGAGGTAAGCAAAGAGCGGAACCCGAACGAAAAGATTTTCGCTTGCAAAGACCCCGTGGAGTCTGAGAGGTCTGACTCCAGCTGCTTTTTGAGTTGTGAGTGATATTTATTTTAAAAAAATCATATAATTTTTTCCATAGTTCAACACAACTTTAAATATTCTTTTATGGTCTAAATATCTTCTTTACTTCACAACTGAGGTTATAATAGAAACAATAATTATGTATAAACCATTTGAACTAGTGAATAAGTGTTAGTGCACGTTAGTCTTAAGTGCTACTGTGGTAAGTGAAAAAATAGAACACAAGAACAGAGTAACTTAATAGAGACTGTAAGTAGTGTTATTGGACACTTTCATTAAATATCCTTATTAGTCAGTTAGACTAGATCATAATTTTCCACGATGTCTTAGTCAAGACACATTTATTTAAAAAAATCATCTAGTTATAAAGTATTTCCGCAAAAATGCAAAACAAGTGCAAACTGTGCTAGATAACTTACGCTGGTGAAGAGGTAATCGCCGAAACTGAGCATATTGAGGCTATTTATGCAATAATGAAAATCCTCTTCCAGCTGGTTCATCATATGGCAATGAAAGTGTAGAAATGTCGCCATCATTAAAAAACCACGCCTCCGTCGATTCTAAAGTCAATCAATTTTTGGAAACTACCACGTCGAAGATTGTTTTGGGTGATGGCGATTGGTTGAATTTGAATAAGTGTGGAGTTAGTTTGTTCATCCCCGATGGGGTTGTGGAGAAAGGAGAGGAACTCTTCTCCCTTGATGTTACTGATGAAGAATGGAATAGGCCGATATTACAAGAAGGTAGGTTGTAAAAACTCTACTCTTTAGATATTAATAATATCTTGCATTCCCCCAACGGCCAAAAAGGTTTTTCGTTGTTTCTATGGAGTCCAACTCTACTAAGTGAGACGTATTATCGTAGATTTTTTTATGTAATAGGAGGCCCATTGACACTAACATTGCCAGAAGGCAACGCAAGGGCGTTGCCGGCATTTTAAGCATTAGTAGCTCTTATTAGTTTTATCTTTGTTCCTTTAACCTTACTTTTGTATGGATCTTTGAATTCGGAATTAATTAATTAAAATAAAGTTATGGAATTATGTCACTTAATATTAGCTAGGAATGATACTAATCTAATAATAGTTAGCATAAATATATAGATTTAGTGTTAAAGATTTAAGTTGGGACCTAGTAGATAGTACCAGTGATCCCAGAGATGGTGCTTTCCTCGCTCAACGAATAGGTATCGCAATACAACGAGGGAATACAAGCATTAAAGGTCTGCCACAGGGACCTGCAAACTTTTAAAATTTGCATTAATTTTCTATTTATTCATTTTTAATTATTATTATTACTATGTAGGTTAAGAATATTGTAAATACTATATAATGAATTTAGTATAAATTGACAGAAAGAGGAAAACTGTATAAAATAATTTACTAAAATGATACACTTTTCTGTAAAAATATTTCAATACATGCTACCAAAATTTGTTTCTATTTAGGTATAACATCCAACATTAACCTTTAATTCACCTCGTGATTGCTCACTAATAACTTGACCCAGATGATATTTCAATACCCTTAAAATATCACTCCAACCTACTTAATAGTAATTAAAAACAGATTAGCTTGTCAGTATTTTATTATATTTCTTTTAAATATTAAAATTATATTCATAAAATCCTATTTAAAGTAAGGATCTTTTTCATCTTAATTAATGCCAGAAACGTTTAGTTTATTTTTTTCTTATTCCATCTTAATTTCTTATTTTGCACTCTCAGGTTTTCCAACATCGAACTAAAATCGCTTGCCCTGAATTAGTTTTATTTATTAAGCATTCCTTACAGGGGAAACTCAACTGAGCCCAGTAATCAGATGCGGCCCCAAAAACTTCCACTTCTCTAAAGGGGTCGTCCTCACTTTCCCGCACTGTGCCGCCCTAAAAAGCTCAAGCTGGATGCTCTCAATACTGCAAAAGCCCGAGGAAATCAATTCAAGAGAATGGAGAAAAGTTCTAACACTCGGTCAAGAAACTCCGGGAACACCAATATTCGCTCAAGTCGATCCAACTAAAGTTTATTTAGTGTGTGAATTTCTCAGTGACTTCGTTCTTATCGGCCGAAGTTTCAATGGCCTAGATGCGAAACTTTTGAAGCTAGGCATATTTGTTAACAAAACCAGCGACGACCATTATTGCTTAAACGTCCGAGTGTGCAATGACACACCGTACGCGTTCTACGAGTGTTTTGAAAACGAAAGGCGCGCGGGCGGGTACTTGTTGTGCGAGCCGAAAACCTTGTACTTCCAAGAGAATTGCTCCGATCTCTGCTTCAACGTTCGAGACGTAGGAACGGGGTGGAAAATACAACCGGAAGCCAAGTACCAGGAGCTTTCGTACTTACACGTTTGGAACATGAGCGTTAGGTCTTTGTACTGTGTTTTCGCGTTGACCCAAATCGACGCGATCAATTGCCTGGAACTGAACATAACGGTGTATCAGAAACAGAAACAATCGAATTCCGTCAATTTCAATTTGAAAACGAATGATTTTAATTCGAATCTCAATTGTAATAAACGATTTAGCTACTCGGGCACGGAGATGGGATATACAGTTAATATTCTGGAGAATCCATTCAATTATTCGTCGTTATCGAAAAAGGAGGACAAGTATGATTTTATTTACAGGAACGGAAACAGAAATTACACGTTGGACAATAATTATTATAGGATTAACGTGTTGACGAAGTCCGATAGGGTGATATTGTGTAAATTGTTGGATAGCCAGTCGTCGAAAGGGAACGATTGGAGATTGCTGGCTGAGAAATTGAAATTGACGTCGTATTATTACTATTTCTCGAACACGTGCTCTCCCACGGAGAATATATTGAATCTGTGGATATGTAGGAACAATGATGCGAATATGTTGGTTAATTTGTCGAGGATTTTTAGAGAGATGTCGAGGGTGGATTGTGCGACTGTTGTTGAACGACGATGCTTTCCTAATTAGACTGATTTTCAATTTTATAATTGATGGAAAAATCAATACATTACAATTCATAAAAAATATAATCTTCGTTTTCATTACGGCGTAAACACAATTTATCTGAATGAGATTAAAGACACTTTAAGAATGTAATTAGAATTGTTTAGTTATGAATAAGGAAGGAAGTTATTTAAAAATATGTTTCTAAACTTTAAAACCGTTAAATCGTTCAGGCTTTTTACAGTTAGTAAAAATACCAACATAAAAACAGTGAAATTTTATTTGCATCTGTTTTACATTTCGTACCTCTCATTATATGATTTTATTTTATGTAACAAATGCACACCATAGTTTAAACTTAGATTGATTTCACGAGTGATAATTTTTTACGCACAATCGTTTCAAATGTAGTGAATATTTTGAGTAAAAAATAAGACTTTTGTCATTCGTGGAATTGATGAACTAGGGCGAGTGATACTTTGGGCGGATTGTAGGTTATAACTTTCGGCGATTCCGGTTCAATATAAAGTTTTAACACATAATAAACATCACTACGAATTAGTAGTTCAATGAGACTCTGGTTAAATGACGTCATCGTGTGTTCTTTATGTCAATTGTCAACTATTCTCGAAAATTGAAATCGCATTTGATATGCTGCGGTTAGATCGATGTGTCACCACTTTGACCCACAATTTTACAGGTATTATGTATGATTATTATGTGATACGCCAGCTGCGGCTATTTCTTATTCATCAATTCCATGGTCAAAGTAATAATAAAACGTTGTAGATAATGATTGAACCACACATGTAATGTTGAAAATTAATGTCAATTGTCATTATGAATCAAAGCAATTGTTGAAAAGGTATTTAAAATTGATGAACAATGAAGACGTGGCTTCGGCCTTTAAAACTACCAAAATTCTCCAATTATTACCAAGAACAAGACCTGGCTGTGTGGACTAAAGTCCTTTGCCATTCCCATTAGGGATAAATTAATATGATCATCATCAAAGCAATTGTTCTACCTTTGACTTATCGTCAACGTCAACGTCAAAATGGCAATTTCAGAAACTGATTTATCGGATTAAAAATTTACGCTAAATAATAATTTCTATTAACAACATAGAACGCGTTTATAAGTAAAGAATTATTACAGATTCGGTATTAATCTTAAATGCGATTAATTAGTTTACAAATATCACGTAATGTTTTGTAAAATATGTAGGCCAAACAAAAGAGTATGTTTTAAACATAATAGCTATGTAAAGAGAACCAATAGAATGGTATAGATAAGAATAGTAGTGGTTTAAATTTTTGAAATAAATTTTTAAAATATACATGTTTTTTATTTAAACAGTTATATACGTATATATATATATATACATATATATACGTATATATATATCAAAATGGATTGTGGGGAAGTTGCATCAGGTTATCTCTTAAGTTCTTATGTGTGTATATACTTTCAATAACATATTTTCATAATTATCCTCATTTTAACATGTTAGGTTTGAGAATTTAAGTTACTGAGAAAGGAAAAGAAACAATTTGATATAGTAACAGAAACAACAATTTATCATAATCGATACAAAAATTTATCAAAATCGATTCAAAATAATCCATTGCTTTAGAAACTTAGGGTAAGATTGTGGAAAAAATCTTTCCTTCGATTTTGTTCCCTTTGGAGTAGAGACTATTGGGCCGTGGGGTTCAAGTGCACAGGCGCTAATTAAACTGAAGTTGGCGCCTGGTAGATAGTATCGGTGAGCCCCTGGATTTTTCTCGCTCAACGAATGAGTACAGCGAGTAAATGCTGCCAGAATTAAAGGAGCCACGGGGACCAAACTTTAAAATTAAATTTAGTTTTATATTTATTATAGTTAAGAAAATTATAAATACTCTAAATATATTTCAATTGATCTGTCTAAATTTTATATATATGAAAGTATATGATATACAAGCGAGACATACATTCTCTCAGCAGACATGACCAGCATACCAAGTGCAGAATCTCTTATGGCGTGGCGATTTGCAGTGCAAATTCCAGGAATTGAACCCATAACATTATGGGAAACATACGTCGTACATATATATATATATAGTATACTAGCTGACCCGGCAAAAGTTATTTTGTCATGTATATTAATTCTAGGAAACATTATTTTAGTTCAATAAAAATAACTTTGTACCTATCAACTATAATAAAAAAAAGGGGTGAAAATTAAGAGTTGTATGTATTTTTGTATGCTATATAATAAAAAAATAAAACAAAATATTTTGGGGTGGACACCCCATATAACTTAGGGGTTTGAAATATAAATAGTAGCCGATTTTCAGACTTTCTGAATATGCATAAAAAATTCATAAGAATCGGTTGAGCCGTTTCGGAGGAGTATGGGAACGAACATTGTGACACGAGAATTTTATATATATAGATTACAAGATAGTTCCAAATACACATTGACAGTAGTAGTAATAGTAAATTTTTTTGAGTAAATATACTAACACTTGTCGTTTATGGAATTAACGAATGACGGCGAGTGATATTTTTGAGCGGAATAACGAACTTTTATTGGAATTTCGATTGCAATATAAATTTTTCGTAACTATTAATCAACATCACTACGAATTGATTAATTCAATGGGATTCATGCTTTCCTAATGACGTCATATGTTCTTTAGGTCAATTGTCAACTATTCTCGATAATTTCATTTAGTTACATTGCTGTATCGCCACTTTGACCCACAATTTTACAGAGTACTTATTTTGTATGACTGTTACGCGGTACGCCAGCTCTGCCTAATTGTTAATGGATTCTACTTTGCTTTGAGAAGTAGGTTGGCCTAGTGGCTTCAGCGTGCGACTCACATACCTGAGGTCGTAAGTTTGATCCCCGGCTGTGCAGCAATGGACTTTCTTTCTATGTGCGCATTTAACATTTGCTCGAACGGTTAAGGAAAACATCGTGAGGAAACCGACATGTCGTAGACCCAAAAAATCGTCGGCGTGTGTCAGGCACTGGAGGCTGATCACCTACTTGCCTATTAAATTTAAAAATGATCATGAAACAGATTCAGAAATCTGAGGCCAAGACCTAAAGAGGTTGTAGCGCCTGTATTTTATTGAGAAGCTGGTTAGTTTGCAGTCTCACTAATAAGAAAACTTACGACTCATTGTACATGATATCAGCAGCATTTATATTAAAGCAAAAATGTAATGCTAAATAATTTGTATGACACGGATCCCGTGTTTTCTGACCTGGATACAGAGTATTAAAGTATTTACGTGAGGGCTGGAGGCACCCGCGATTGCATTGTTAAATAATTGATATCAACTTCTACATTGCTCTGTATTGGTTTGGCGTGTGACACGAGTTAGAGCGTTTTAGTACGGTTGATTTAAATTAAAATATCTGTTTTGCGGAAACATATTTATACCGTGTGTTTTATTGAAAAAAAATAGGCAACGCTCTTGCGAGCCCTCTGACATAGAGTGTGTCCATGGGCGGCGTAAAAAAAATTAAAGGACTCTTCAAAAATAACAGTCCAAACCCATTGTTCTTGGCCTCTGATTTCTGTATGTGTTTAACGATATTATTTTCTCAATATGCAAATTATTCGTTATCAGCCTTCTATAACACACATTTTTGGATCTAACGCATTCCATTTGTATGAGTAAGATGATATGTTAATAAAATAAAACATAACTTTAAGGTTATAAGTCACAAGAAAAATATAAAAATGATAAAACAACTTCGCATTTCTATCATTGCTTATTGTGTCCAGAACACTGAGGCATATTTAGACAAATTGTACTTGGTTACTATAAAAAAGCTTATTACGTTTGTAGGTCTATGCCTCGGATTTCTGTGTCTGTTTTATGATAATTTGTCAATCTAATAGACAAGTTGATCAGCCTCCTGCCGACTTTTTGGGCCTAAGACAAGCCGGTTACCTCGCGATTTTTTTCACCGTTCAAGCGTATGTTAGCTGAAAGTCCATTGGTGCACAGCCGGGGACCGAACCTAAGACGTCAAGGAAGAGAGTCGCAGGAAGACACTAGGCCAACACTGCTACTTATATACATATATATGTAATATTAACTATATAAATATACATATATATATTAATATTTCTAGTATTTTTTTGTATCCCGGCTGTATCCTATAACTTGGGCATGAGTAAGGGTTTCACGAGCTGCCTTTCATTTCTATTAAAGGAAGCCCTTAATAAAGATGAGGGTGTATGGTATGCGTGAGGTACTGACTTTTAACACAGTACTATTATCATCCACTGATACCTTTTGTTGGCCTATGTATTTATTTATTTATTCAAATTTACCTCATCATACAGAACATATCTACGGTATGTTCTTCTTCTTTAGTGCCTCTCCATTACTGCCTTGCGATTCTGTAACTCACTTTTCGAAGGAGGATAAGGAGGGAGCTTGTAGTTGTGAGAGTTCGAAAAGTGAGTTACAGAATCGCAAGGTTGGAGGTTGGCCGTCAGTATACGGTATGTTGCACTCTTTTATCTAAAATGAATGACAATTTAGGTAAATATTAATGTATATATATACCTATGTACATATAAGAACATTTGTGGCACATTTTAGGATGTACGGTGTGTACCGTTTTTACCCAATGTATCCGACCTTAGGGCCGGTTTTTTGATCCGTAGTTAACTCAACTATTGGTAAAAAATCGTTACTATTAGTTAAATATCAGCAAAATGCGTTTTTTGATCCGTGGTAAGAGCATCCAATGGTAAAATATCTAACCATTAGTCAAAAAAGTTAACTACTCAGTATCGGAGGGTTAAAAAGATGGCCGCTGGTAATTTATATACTAACAGCTGTTTGTCACAGAAATCAAACTATGATAAATACGTTTATTACTATCTAATGATGAATTTAAACATATTGAGATACTTTAATTAATGAGACGATGAAGAAGACGATAATATTATATGAGAATGTGTTAATGAGTGACCAAAAATATTTAGGCAATGTCATCCGCC